AACTCAACTCTATTCAATTTCAAGCATAGATTAATGATTTTGATTGGTGGAATTTCGATATTTGCACCAATCACAGGACAGAATCTATGACTGACACTGAATCTAGTTTTTAGCGTTGTCTTGTAGTACTTACCATAGTATCATTCGCGGTGTACTTTACGGTCATGGACCCACATTACCAATTAGGATAGTCGAAACCAACAATATTAGCTTAGGAATAAATAAACAGTCAATAGTAGCTCGGAAAGGACCAACATATAACGTCAATATAAACTGATCGAAGAACTAGAGAGTAAGGAAAAAACCGGCCAAGTGCGAGTCGGGCTCGCGCACAAAGGGTTCCGTAGCAGCAACAGTTAAATCAACCTATCTCAAAAACTATAAGAGATACTTTGATCAAACCAAAAATCGTTGAAAGAGTTAATTAGCATGCATCACCTCTATTTTTTTTAGAATTTTATACCCCGTAGTTATAAAAATAGAGGGGGGGGGACATACTTTTTACGACTTTGAGAGCTGATATCTCAAAAACCGTTCACTTTAAGAAAAATGTTTTTTAGAAAACTTTATATCATTTTAAAAGACCTTTCCATTGATACCCCACACGGGTATGTACATCGAAAAAAAATTTTCATCCCTCAGTTACATGTATGGGGGGCCCCACCCCCAATTCTTTTTTTTACTATTTAGTGTCATAATTTTGTAGCGGTTCATACAACACATATTCCCATCAAATTTCATCACTGTAGTACTTATAGTTTCCGAGTAAATCGGCTGTGACAGACGGACAGACGGACAGACGGACAGACGGACAGACGGACAGACGGACAGACGGACAGACGGACAGACGGACAGACGGACATGACGAAACTATAAGGGTTCCGTTTTTGCCATTTTGGCTACGGAACCCTAATAAGAACTTACCGCCTATGTTAATTTATTGAGAATATAAGAGTATACACTCGTCATAATACGGTGGTGTTTATCTTTGTGTGCACCAAAATCAGAGAAGTTTAAAAGTGGAGAAAGTATGAAGTATTGCCATTTAAATTACTTCGATAAGTCAAGATGCAGTGTGCTTTAAAAACAGATCAAAACTATTTAACCGAGGCCTTATTATTTAGAGCAGTCGGCATCATATTAGCTTACAATAAAATGATAAATTTTCCCATTTGATTTTGAACTAAAGGCGAAATTCAAAATCCGTTGGGGTAATTGAATATTTTGTAATAAGTCAATGTGCTACCGACACCTTCAGTATTTAGTAATAATCAGTAAAGAGCATGTTATAACCAATTAAAGTTCGTTGTAAGTTTTATATACAACAGATAAATTATTTGCCAAGTTACGCTAGATACTGTTAATTTATTAGACAAATTTTGGTGTGTAGATTTAACTAGTTACATTAAGTATTACACTCAACTATAGACACGGTCGTGGCTTTGTTAATAGCTTTAAGTGAAACGAAACAGAAAATGCAATAAGCAATAAAATTTGCCATTTTGGTAAACAGGCTATAAACAAATATTATATTATACATTACTTAGAATAATAAGCTATATCGCTACTCACGGGCATAGGATACTAGTGGCTTAGCATTTTTATAATTCTTTTTTACATGTAACTCAAGGAAGTACCCATTTCATAAATAGTAAAGGGCCGTATGAATAATTCTAAATCTCTAACGCAATTCATATTCTAAAAGAATGTATCTAAAGTAAACCGTAATCTGATAGTCAATGTGTAGGTACGCATTATAATAAGTATTACTATTTTTGCAAATTTTTTAGTGGAGCGTATCGTTTAGGTGTGTTTGTATCGATGCTACTCATTATCGTCTCGTGGTCGGTACCTGATTACCTGCTTTTGTGAGTCCTGTAGTTGCTGAAAGTCATGAAAGAATCGGGCGCATTTTTCAACAACTACAGGATCGACACACGAAGCTGGGACATAGGATCATGTCGATTGTTTGTATCCACCGCCCTAATTTTGTTCAAACGACGAATAACTTTTAAAACCAGTGGTAAATACTTAGGACTCCTAAGTATATGACAGGTGACACTCCTAAGTTAGGAGTATCACCTGTCGTATATCCAAGCATTCATAGATGACTTTCAGTTTTGCTATTGTGTCGGTTTGGTTGTTTTCCACTGTTTTTAAAGAGTAATTCATCGTTTGGACGCGAATAGTGCGATGGACGCAAACTGGCGATATGACCCTACACATTTTGCGTAAGTAGTAAACGGCTAGCCATCAGCCTCCTTCGCGGCGTAGAACCCACATGCCAATCACAGCTGACGAACAAGGAGGGGAATTGAAAATATTTATTTAGATAAAGTTCAAAACGGAAATTTAAATTGTGCCTTAGTGATAAATCGTTTAGCCTCTCATTTCTTTCGGGATCACAACACCGAACGCGGTTCCGATAATATCAAGTCGATTTCTCCTTAGGATTGGAAGTATTACTCAGTATTTCAATTTCTAGCACTGTACACTTCTGCACTGGGTAAAGACTATACGATCGGTTAAGCGAAAACCCCCTCTCTGAGTTTTAGATGAACTTAAATAATGCAATAATGTTTAACAATATTTTGTTTTATTGGATGTTGTAATTGACTATATTTACATTATTATATAAATACGTAGAGCAGTATGTATATGTCGTAGCAATAAAATAAGTGTGGCAATAAGGTCTAGTGCATTTGCTTTTGTGTCTTTAACGATAATCGAACGTTGTATAGAGCCTGTCCTCACTACCCCTCTCGCTGTATACTGGCTTCACACAATCTACGTACAATAAGTTCAAATTCTTGACGTTATCAAAGTATATATTTTATAATAATGCGAGTAATTAGTTACGTAGATCGAGGTGTATTTATTACGTAGTACTTGTATGTTTCATTTCGCTATTGGCAACTGCGCGTTATAGTGCGTTATAACGTAGCAACTGCGCGTTATAGTGCGTTGTAACGTAGCAGTTGCACGTTATAGTGCGTTATAACGTAGCAACTGCACGTTATAGTCCGTTATAACGTGACAGTTGCCAATAACGGTAGCACTCTTTCTGAGCTTGGTATTTTGACACTTTCTTTGAATTTGCGTGTCGTATCACATGGTTAGCATAAGATAAAGTGCCAAGAGTCGCTAGTCCTTTCCTAACTGCAATTCCTTCTACTGTGTACTTCTGTCTTCGCGGACTACGGCCCTGCCCAGTCTTGCGTCTTGCTTAGCCAAATAACGTGTAAGCGTTGCAGGATATCTTTAAATATTATCTCATCGGCTTAATTGATAGTTACCTATAAATTACTTAAGTTAATTCGTCTTAATTTAACATGGCTATATTTACATTAATATATTTATTAATAATTAGCAATAAGCGTGGTCTTAATAAACTAACAATAATGTAATTTATTTATAATAACTCAATCAAACACAATTAATATCTCCATATTGTTTTCCATAAAATTAATAACTGATTTATTCATTGATAATAAAATTGATTGCCAGTCCATATTAAGTCTTCCTTTAAAATGTTCTACGACTAAATTAATACTATTTTAAAGAACAGACAAATAAGTTGGATTAAATTAATTTTATTGATATAAGTTATTGTAATAAAAGTGTTCGTTTACTTAACAAATGATACAAATAATAACAATAAGATTTATTTTTAAGGAAATTGATAAATTAATATTACTAACTTAGTTAACTTTTTTCTCTGTAAGATATTTAATATTTATTGTTATTGACTCCGTACGATTGATTTGCTAGTTGTTGTTAACTTGCAAAATTAAAATAAAATTGTTGAAGTGAAAATACACAAAAAATGGCAAACTTCCATACTCAACAAATATTTATTGTTATTGACTCCGTACGATTGATTTGCTAGTTGTTGTTAACTTGCAAAATTAAAATAAAATTGTTGAAGTGAAAATACACAAAAAATGGCAAACTTCCATACTCAACAAACTCTATTTAAGGACAACTCTCTCTTTTGTTCACATTTGTAAGTTGACTAAAGTTTCAACCACACCAACGCGTGCAGTTCGCCATCGGTGGCGCGATCTTAAGGAAATGACAGGTCGCGTGAACTGTCATGGGTCGCGCGACCTGTCATTGGCTTTACAAATGTAAACCGGTCCAAAAAGAAAGGGTAGTCTCATTTTTCCGTTCCGAACCAGTCTTCAGTTAATCTCCAAAATGATGCCAATAATTATCTCCATTTCAAACATAAATTAAAGGTATCCTGCAAGCGCAACAAAGTGAGAAATAGTGTAAACGAGAAACGCATAACGTTTAATATTAATAGCGGCTAATGTTACGATATTCTGTATTGTTTTGTAGTGGATGTTTTATTCTATACTAGCGTAAAGAAGACGTCAAGAGGAAGTGTGGGCGCATCGCAGCGCCTTAGCTCCACGCCGGCGTCAGTAGGCGTGTTAAACTAAGGACAAACAAATTATAGTATAAAATTGTTTACCAGACGCCCGGCGGGTGTTAGACGAAAAATATTATTTTTCTTAGATCACAATATATTGTAAAGGTAATATAGAGGCGGCGCGGGCGGGGAGCGACACAAGATCGTTATTTTTTTATGATGCGCCCGCGCCGCGCCGCCGCGTATTTGTTATGTTTAAGAGGAAATATCTATTGTCTATTCCAAGGGTTGAATAACTACCAACACTTTTTTATATTACAATAATTATAGAAATTATTATTGAACTCGTTGTTTTCTTTAACCTTCCTTTAATTTTCAAATGAACATTAATATTTTGATAGTTAGACATTATAATATGAATAAGTTATTACCTAAACAAGGTTTGGAAATCAATTAATTTTTTATCAATCTTAAGTTATATTTGAAGTGTAGGTATAAAGGAAAAAATATTTAAGAGACATTTTTACTTCTCAATTTTAAAAGAAAAGAAAAGAAAAGAAAGAGTAACATAGTTAAGCATTTATCAAACGCAGTTTATCTATTGCAGTGTGGATTTGTATTGTGTTATGTCAAGTGTGTACTTAACTGACAGTAAAAGACAAAATAAAAGGCACCTTTGATCAGGATCATTTATTAGTTTCTAGAGTGCTTCTTTTTCTTCTTCGCCTTGTTGTTGTGTGCGTCTATGAGGTCATCGATTTCTTTGCTGTCGTCGCCCAAACGCTTCTCGCCACTGGAAATAAGAAAGGAAATAAGTTACACAGGAGTTAAGGTAAATTTATTTATTTATTAGAAGATACACCAATAAAGTCACATACATAACTTAAAACTATAATTTTATTAATTACATCTAGCTGTACCATCGTCTATCTAAATAACATAACAGTGGAATATGCGATAAAACTGTACTTATGTACAGTTTTATCTTTATTTAGTTTTAGTAACTGTATTTATGTACTTATGTACAGTTTTATCGCATATTCCACTGTTATGTTATTTAGATAGACGATGGTACAGCTAGATGTAATTCCTAAGCAGTTTCTTAGGAAAATTGTCCCGAAAGTACCATATTTTATTTCAAATTCTACCAAGTAGTTAAATATTTCCAAAATTTTAAGCAATCCCCGGGACTAATCAACTTACCAGTCGTGTTTCATTAACGTTCATACAGTAGACCCTTGGGAGGTGGAATTTTACCACAATCGCACCTGGTGTTAAGTGAGATGCAGTCTAGGATGGTACACATCTGCCCTGAAGTGCCTATTCACTCTCGCCTTGAAAAGGCCCGGATTATAGTCTTCGGGCGGGGCACATAGCTCGAAGAGCTGATGGCCGCTGGGGCAGGAAATTTCTTGACTGGCGACCACGAGCTGGAAGACGTAGCGTGGGCAGGCCTCCCACTAGGTGGACCGACGATCTGGTGAAGGTCGCGGGAGGTACCTGGATGCAAGCGGCGCAGGACCGGTCTTTGTGGAAATCCTTGTGGGAGGCGTTTGTCCAGCAGTGGACGTCTTTCGGCTGAAACGAACGATAGTCATCGGGAAAGACAGCAGCAGGCAGCGAATTCCAGTCCCTCCCTAGCTGTTCGCAACGCTTTGACGTTTAGTCACTGTCATTCGATTCAACCAAACTTCAAAATATGTAATAGGTGCATACCGCGGAGACATAAAAACGAAATCGAAACAAAATCGGGTGAATAACACGTGCATACGAAAAGTGACTCCAGCGATCAAATCGCTTGCATGTTGAAGTTTTGTTACGTGAATTAGGCCACAGTTTCTGTAAAGACTATTAGAACTTGAAGCCTCACCTCTTGACAGAGACCAAGTGTTTCTGCTTAGATGCAGCAAGCGACTGCTGCCAGTCCACCTCGCTGCCCTTGATGCTATGATATATGTACTGAGCTATATCCTCGCCCATTAGATTGAATGAATCATCATGATTTTCCAAAATATTCTTTCTAAAGTCTGACACTAGTTTTGTTGCTACAGCCCTGAGTCGGAATCCATTTTCAATTGAGCAATATAGTACCTAGGATAGCTAGCTTGCGTCAATAGTTAAGACTATTTTTTTTATCCACAACGAGGAAGCTCTTGGCCTGTATCTCACCTGATTTGTATATTTTAAAGACTGTAATAAACCCTTGAAAAGAAAGCTGACAATGCACAGGCCTTTTTATTGTCCCGAAGCAGTGGTAGGGTTAATACTGGGACGTGTAAAAGTGCTTTTTAAAAGCCTACTTGCAAAAAAAAAATACTTTTGCCTTACCTCTTGACGGAGACCAAGTGTTTCTGCTTGGATGCAGCAAGCGACTGCTGCCAGTCCACCTCGCTGCCCTTGATGCGGTACTGCGCCAGGTCCTCGCCCATCAGGCGGGACAGCTCCTTGCGTTGCTTGCGCTCCAGTTCCTGGAAAAATTTGGTTTATTTACAATTATTAATTTGAAGACATAAAGGGAAATACTGGCCATTTTTTCTTTAATAGATTTTTTGTAATCTATGGTCACAAAAATACTTGTTCATCATTTATAAGATCATACACAAAGACTTATTAACATAAATAATGAAGCAGAAAGAATATTTAGTGACAACCCTCTTATTTCCTCTGAATCACAAGGGCAGCATTTCATTGGTTTCTCTTAAACCATTTGTGTATGTTTGTCAACTACATTCACAAGCTTTGAGGCTTCTCATTAATCGACTAAATTATTTTTTTATAGTCATCAACATAATTGGCAATATCTCATTTCAGCATATAATTTCTAGTAGTGCACATAAATAAAAAAAGCAATTCTTTACTCGTACTCAGATTTTTTCGATGTGCATTCTAATCATTATTCTAGTCACTGCTTTCTCTGTATTAATTTTTTTAGCATAATACATACCAGAGACTTTTCCACTAAAATATAGTGTACAGTTTGGAAGTCAATAAAGTAACTAGGGTATTTTTACTAACTAGGTATTTTAATAAAAACTACATACTCAATACACTAACCAATAAAACTACTGAGCTAAAACATCAAAGTTTATTACGTTTCCACAACACAAATCCAGCGTACGCTAGCAAGCATCCGAGCATTACCTTAGCAGCCTTCGACAGTTCGTCTTGCAGGCTCTGCTTCACCGGCCCGTCGGTTTGGGCGTCCTCGGCGCTCTTGTCGTCTATGCCTGAAATTAAATTTAATGTTTCAATACAATTTTCAATAATATTTTTTCACTTATGAATATCAAAAAATAGCCTTTAGGGTGCCTCTGACTAAGATATAAAAAATCCACCAATAGAATTTCTTAAAATCTCCATTCTTCTTCAGTGGACAGGGAGTTACGAATTTATTTTAATTTTTTTTTATCCACAACGAGGAAGCTCTTGGCCTGTATCTCACCTGATTGGAAGTGACAATCAGGCCGAAGGTGGAAGCGAGCTTCACCCGGAATCCTCAACCACGGAGGAACTGGCTATCTTACCTCTAACTGCCGGAACACAACAATGCTGTTAACATTGTTGTTATGGCGACAGACTTAGGTAAGATGGTGGTAGCTAGCCAGGCGGACTTAGAACCAACCAAACCGAACAGAAAATTCTGCCCCCACTGGGAATCGAACCCGGGACCTCTGCGTTTGAAGCAGGTGGTCTTACCACTAGACCACAGAGGCGGTTGAAAATCAGTAAAAAAAGAAATATTTAAGTATGTTTACTTTATATCCGTAGTCTAGTGCCCATAGTACAAGCTTTGTTTAGTTTGGGACTAGAAGCGTAGTGTAAAAATGTCCAAGGATATTTTTTTATTTATTTAAAAATTTTAAATCGGGAAACGGAGCGAGGACGCTTGCCGTGGAAGCGGGCCTAACGCCTCATATAGAAAAACAAAGTACGCAACTCCTCTCCGCGTACTTTCTCCGCTACATAGCTCCGCGTTTATAAACAGACATAGTCCGCAACTCTGCTCCGCGTTGATCCTCTTAGCTCCGTTAGGCAGCCTTAATTGCTTCTTCTTTACAAGTTTTCTTATCTTTTTATCCTATTGCTGAAAAGAAATGTCGAAACGAACCTATTTCTTTAGCCACAGTGTCTTCTAGCACAGCGTTGATGGCGGCGTTAATCTTCTTGCAGGCCTCGTAGAACTTGGCCAGGATCTGAGACCCGGGTAAGCCGAGCTCGCCCGCTATGTCGTCCACGTCCTTCATTTGGAAGCCCATGGCTATGAGGATCACCTGTTAAATGAATAAGTAAATACACAAATGCGCTGTAGTACATAGCTAAACTAAAAGCCAAAGTTTTCAAAAAGTCGTTCGTTCGTTTCAATTAAATGCGGACGGCATTTGATTGCTGTACAAATTGCCTTCTCTACGGATTTCCACAACGACCGGTCTTGCACTGTTCGCATCTAGTGCGTCAAAAAAAAACTATGAAGATTTTAGTTCTTGAAAGAAGCCGCTAGGGGCGCTGTACATCTGCCATATAGTTTAATGTAATTTTTTTCGATCGCTAGAAAGCGTATCTAACGTAAACTCAAGCATAAATATCGTTGGTACACCGAGTGGAAGAAGCCTGCCTGTCAACTTTTTCCTGTCCGTGGTCGCTACTCGAAAACATTTTGAAAATTGTTTCTAAGAAAAAAAAGCAATTTCCACAGCAATATTAAGGTGACATGTCAAATAATGGTGTCACGACAAAACAACTGATGTTAAAATACGTCACTAAAGCCAAGTTTTTGACGCTAGTTTGCGACGTACTTTGTGTTTATTAATGTCAGCAGTTCTCACTAACGCCCTCAAAAATAGAACTGTCATCACCTGTTGGACCGCGTCCAGCTTGACACTGGCCTTGCAGTGGAACACCAGCTCCGCTACGGGCTGTAACAAGTCGCAGACGAGGCGGTAGTCTACCTACTGGCTTATCCTCTACTTGGCAAGCGTTAAGAAGGATATAAAGACTTGGGAATAGAACTATCACCTGTTGTACTGCGTCCATCTTGACATTGGCCATTCAGTGGAACACCAGCGTCTCTTTACTGGCTTATTCTCTGCTTGGCGAGCATTGAGAAGGATACACTCAAGAATAGAACTATTACCTGTTGGACCGCGTCCAGCTTGATATTGGCCTTGCAGTGGAACACCAGCTCGGCTACTGGCTGTAACAAGTCGCTGACGAGGCGGTAGTCTCTTTGCTAACTTATTTTCTGCTTGGTGAGCGCTGAGAAGAAAATAAAGACTCAAGAATAGAACTATTACCTGTTGGACCGCGTCCAGCTTGACATTGGCCTTGCAGTGGAACACCAGCTCCGCTACGGGTTGCAACAAGTCGCTGACGAGGCGGTAGTCTACCTACTGGTTTATCCTCTACTTGGCAAGCGTTAAGAAGGATATAAAGACTTGGGAATAGAACTATCACCTGTTGGACCGCGTCCAGCTTGACATTGGCCTTGCAGTGGAACACCAGCTCGGCTACCGGCTGCAACAAGTCGCTGACGAGGCGGTAGTCTACCTACTGGTTTATCCTGTACTTGGCGAGTGCTGAGAAGGATATAAAGACTCGAGAGTGGAATTGTCACCTGTTGGACCGCGTCCAGTTTGATATTAGCCATTCAGTGGAACACCAGCGTCTCTTTACTGGCTTATTCTCTGTCTGGTGAGCGCAGAGGTTTTACGGACTTAAGCCCAGACCACCGAGTTTTAGTCGGCCGATAGTTGGCTCGGGCTCACGCACATATTACACCGATTTGGTATCGGTAGATTCTTTATACAAATTAGAATCGGGTCCAACTATCGGCCAACTATAAGTTGGTGGTCTGCGCCTAGGCTAAGAGTGGAACTACATATTACCTGTTGGACCGCGTCCAGCTTGACATTAGCCTTGCAGTGGAACACCAGCTCGGCTACCGGCTGCAACAAGTCGCTGACGAGGCGGTAGTCTACCTAATGGTTTATCCTCTACTTGGCAAGCGTTAAGAAGGATATAAAGACTTGGGAATAGAACTATTACCTGTTGTACTGCATCCAGCTTGACATTGGCCATTCAGTGGAACACCAGCGTCTCTTTACTGGCTTATTCTATGCTTGACGAGCGCTGAGAAGGATATAAAGACTCGAGAATGGAATTGTCACCTGTTGGACCGCGTCCAGCTTGACATTGGCCTTGCAGTGGAACACCAGCTCGGCTACTGGTTGCAACAAGTCGCAGACGAGGCGGTAGTCGGCCTGCTGGCGGCAGTAGGCCTCCAGGCGGCCCAGGTCGTGCCCTGAGAGGTACTGGGCTATCCGCTGCTTGGTGATCACTGGGAACAAATATGTGATTGGTTTGGAAGGATGATGGTATATCGAGTTAAACACTGGGGCGTGTTAGTTGAAATAGGTGGTATTTTGCGAAAAAAATATGTGGTTTGACGATGATTTAACTTAACCGCCTCTGTGGTCTAGTGGTAAGACCACCTGCTTCAGACGCAGAGGTCCCGGGTTCGATTCCCAGTGGGGGCAGATTTTTCTGTTCGGTTTGGTTTGTGGTAGGGCTTGTTCTAAGTCCGCCTGGCTAGCTACCAGCTTACCTAAGTCTGTCGCCATAACCACAATGTTAACAACATTGTTGTGATCCGGCAGTTAGAGGTAAGATAGCCAGTTCCTCCGTTGTTGAGGATTCCGGGTGAAGCTCGCTTCTACCTTCGGCCTGATCATCACTTACCATCAGGTGAGATATAGGCCAAGAGCTTCCTCGTTGTGGATAAAAAAAAAATGAATTTTGGTTTGTTTGCCTCCCCCAAGATTTTCTACTATGAACGGTCCAGATGAGGCGTATCGTAATAGGCGACAAACTCCTGTAGCACCGGACGGGCAGTAGCGTATGCGTGCGAAATCAAATAAAAAACTGCGATCGCCAACCCGCCTGCCAAGCGAGCACAGTCGTCAAATACACGTCCGAGGTTTTTTGCGCGTCGGTGTTGGTACTAACTATTGCATTTGTGTCGCATGTGATTTGTGGCGGGCATTTTGCATTACTATAACACGCAGATGTTCCACGCTCGGGTAATGTGGCGTCACTAAGCGGAAATCTTAAGCTAAGTAATTAATTTATCATAGCTAAGTAATTTTATCTATTTTAATAAAAATAGATAAAATTACTTAGCTATGATAAATAAACCAGATCGGTTATTACCAATCTGGTTTATCAACAGCTACGTTGTCGTTAACCATTGTAGTCAGTCAGGCTAGTAGGCGGGCCAGCCGGCGCCGTTAAGTCTCTAAATTGGGATTAAAAGGTTATTTATGAATAAACGACAATGTTAACCAACCTGGTCTGTCCACAGCCACATTATCATTAACCATCGTAGTCAAAGCTAGCGCCGCCGGTAATTTCCTTAGAGACCGGGCCAGTAGGCGTGCGAGGCGGCGGCGAAAGTCGGCGCTGTAGGCGGCGAGCCAAGCGCCGAGCCCGAGCGCTCGCAGCATGATGCACGAATGCTCGCCGGTCAGCTCGTTGGCTTTTTGACTGTGGATTGAAATGTTTTTCTTTGATTGATTCTGATTCTTTTGAAAAGGTATTATTATCTTCTCTTTGGTCTTTGATACAATAAACGTTCCTGTTGTGTTACCACAGGGGTCACTTAAAAATTAGGGATTGATGGTGAAAACGGGCATAAGACTTTTATTTCGCTTTTGAAATATTAAAGATCATCCCAAAAGTTTCATAAGTCTCAATATTTTTAAAGGAAATAAAAAAAAAACAGTTTTTTATTTCAAATATCTCGCTTCATATGAAACTCCTCGCTAATACAAAATTAGCATAAGACCAATGACCTCCAAATGTAGCAGGAAGGCGCTGGATGTAGGCTGCCATTATGAAAATCATTGGACGAGGCCTGTGTTCAGCAGTGTACGAAATGATGACGATAATATGATAATTTACACCTAAAACAATTTATTATGCGATTTTTGAGAGCGCAGCGCTCAGAAATGCAATTAAAATGATTTCAAAAGACAGTTAACTTTTCCTTATTAAACTCACCTAAGATAAACAGGCACATATTTCTGCGACTTCCAGAACTTGATCAGTTCCTCAGTCAGACCAAAACTAGTTCCAAGGTAGTCTAGCTCTTCTGCTCTGACCTCTGACAACCGCTTCAGTAGTGTCGGTGGCTTGGCTCTGAAATAAAAAACCATAGGGTCAGAAAGTCAGAAAACCTATCTGAAAATTTCGTTTGAGTTTCACCTCCGTGTATGTATTGTGATTAGAATTCGTATAAACATAAATTTTTAACTAACTTTGTTTGCATCGACCACAAAAAAAACAATTACTACTATAGTCTTAATTATATTGCTGTCGCGACTGTGCGACCGGCGGCCGCAGTGAGTGTGCGAGCGCGACAGCAACATAATTACGCGCGAGCGATAAGGATGGGTAGCTTGGGGTCATTGGACAAAATTCTACGTGCTCACAGACCGGGCTTTAGTTTGTAAAATAAAAAAATAAAAGTTTATTTAACAACTTTAACATTTTACATTGCATTGTTGTACACATAATTTTCATAATAATTTAAATTTTAATATGTATGTTTTATCGTATATTAAGTCGATTGATTTTTGTTTTGACTTCTTGTAATGCAAGTACCTGGATGCAGGCAGCGCAGGACTGGTTGTTATGGAAATCCTTGGGGGAGCCTTTGTCCAGTAGTGGACGTCATTTTGCTGAAACGTATGAACGAAGTGTCTATCTAATTGAAAAAGAGGGTGGCAAAGGTGGCTTACGCCCGTGTTCACCTTCAATCCCTAATTTTTAAGTGACCCCTAAGCTATGGTAACACATAACAGGAATTTTGTTTTCAAAGGGGTCACTGAAAATGGGCATTAGTTTTTTTCAGCATTTCTTCTCAGTATCAACCCATATGTTGTCCCGAAAAGGTAGTAGGCTATAGCGCCTTGGAAAGGGCATAAGTAGGGGAGACCTGTACAAAACCGTATACCGGGGTAAAACCGTACTGTATAGATTTCTCCGTTATTATTTAAAAGCGTCGACTACATATAGCATCCCAAAATCTACTTTGCAGGACCGCGTAAATAAGTTCAGGTCATCTGGTGAAAATCTTTCTACAAACAAAGGATTAGGGCGTTTCAAAACCCGTATTTTCATCATCTGAGGATATCGTATATATGTATACGGTTTTGTCCAGTCCCGGGTCAAAACCGGAAATACTAGAGGTTTTGTTTTTGTTTAAAAAATAATATTTCTGTTAAATTTAAGTGTTATTTCATTGTTGATTTTTCTAGCTAATGAGAACCTTTAATAAAGAAGTAAATTACAAATACGTAGTTTTCTTTGTTTCTATTCTATGGGTATTTATTCTTAGCTATACGGCTTTACCCCGGTCTCCCCTACTGAATTATACTATAGCTTTGACTTTGACTATTATAACTAGAGGATTCGATCCCGGGATTCTGGATCCCGAGATCCCAGACGATATTTAGTCCCGAAAATTTCGGGACTGAATTTGACTAATCCCGGGTTTTACGGGATTGAATACAAAATAATAAATAAATCCCCGGATCGCCTATACAGGTTGGAAACGTTAAGTGATCTCACTCAATTATTTCTAAACTATACAAGATATCAAAAAACTGATTACTGATCCTGAAAGTGCTTCACTAGCTCTATCCAACGGTACCAATAATAAGTTACAGAATTAACTCGATATCTTGTATAGTTTAGAAATAATCGAATGAGATCACTTATTGTTTCCACCCCGTATACAATCTCGTAATCCCGGGATTGGAAAAAAGGTCCGGGATCGAGTAACTCGTTACCTGGGCACGATGGTTTCTGTGTGTAATGTATCATCAGGCCGGCAAGCTTGATCTTCATCGTCGGACGCAGGCTCATCAAGGCACGGGATGTCTCCGCTATAGTATGAAGCTAATTGTTGCAGCGCGCGTTTACCGTAGCCCATCTGTTTGTAAAGGAGTCTTTTAGGTAAACTTTATGTTAGCGTGAAATTTTTATTTATTTATTTAATTTTTATTTTTTATTTTATTTGCTTAACAATGTTTCAACAGCATTAAATTGTACATAAATGTGCAGGAAGATACAACTTGAACATAAGCCAATTAAAGAAACACATTCTATTACTAAAACATTTTTAAATAAGTTAACGTGGGTAGTTAGGTGAACACTAAAACAATTCAAAACTAAGTAAGCAAATTACATGTGAACTTGGTGTGAAATTCCGAGTCACTAATCAAATAATAATTATGTATTTACATAAACTTTATAAATGTGAAAAGAAATATTATAAATAAAATTTGACTAGATTAGATTAAAGTGAATTAAATTGTGAACTTGTGAACTCCGTCAGTTTATAATATAACGCGTGAGATTGTAAACTAATAGTGGGTTAGATTATTTATTTTTCTCTAATGTAATATACATAAGATTATAATCTGACGTAATTCACAATTTTACGGTGACATTTTACAAGACGTGTATTTGAAACACAAAAATACAATGCATAGGCACAAAGTAATAACACAATTAGATTTTTTAAGTTATTTAAAATTTAGTTTGAGATGCGACCGTATTTTGTAAAGGCATAATTTTTTTTTGGCTCGTGAAACAGTTTTACTATAGGAGCGATACGGGAGGGGTGACATTGACATATTATGACGTGATACAGTCTCGCTGACGTTTGGTTGACGTTACAAAAACACCCTGCTGTGCCGCTCCCACACCACTAACAGAGTTTAGCTAGACCTAGTTAGGGAGTCAAGGAATCAAATAATTAGTGAAAAATGATTGTTTAATAAGTATTCTCAACGAACTCACTCTCTGATAAGACGGATGCGTGGCTATCCTCACTATCCTGGCTCCGGATAGCTTAGGGAAATCTTTGTCTCCGAACTGCTCACAGATGTTCCATGGAATCAAGTCACCAGCCGCCTTGCGACCGCGACCGAGGCTGTCTTTAACCGACCTGGTGGAATAAAGTAGAGTTAGTAATTAATTTTAGGCACGTGTGATTTGTCGCCGACTTTTTTGTCACCTCCATATGTCAATACGGACGGTACAAAAAAAATCCTGTCACTGTGACGTCGCTACGTGTGCGCTCTCCATACATCTCCATGGACTTGGTATAGTGACGAAACAGTTAAGGCAACAAAAATCACCCGTGCGTGCGAGCCCTTTGGAGTCTAATTTGAAATGAGGAGATCCGTAGGAGAGCCAAAGTAAATGACATGCCCAACAGAATTGTCAAATTAAAGAGAAAGTGGACGACGCACATAGCTCTTAGAAGTTCAGATTGTGGTCACTACTGGAGAACTTTTCTAGAGCTGAAAAGTTCTTGAATGGTGACCACGGACCGAAAAACATAATGAAGGCTTCCCACAAGTCGCTGGAAGCGAGCAGCGCAGGACCGTTCTTTGTTGAAATCTTTGAAATCCTTGGCCTATTAAACATAAGTCTCCTTCGGTCATTTCCAGATTGGATATACATAGTACAGTCGCGGAATGAAAAGGTTCGTCACCTTAGTGTCGGTTTTCGCTTGCACTAGGTACTGTAAAACCTGCCAACATAACCGTGCAAGAAACAGTGCTGCTAACATTTAAATAAATATGACGTTTGCTAACGAATAAGGTTTTGCTTGTTTATTTTTCTATCCCATCAGTGCAATGTTACAAAATGTAGTGTTTTTTATTTAATAGATAATGGCAGGTTGAACCAACAAGAAGGTTTTAGTTTATCAATCATAATAATCTTCTTGACAAGTTGAATCGTCAAACAAGTTTGATCTGAATAATTTTGAACTTTACTGGCGAACAGTTAAAGATTATTTTCTCTAACTCGAGATTATTCTGTAACATAGTAAATCAGTTTCAAAAGGTAATATGTGCTCGCGATTCGTTGAAGGAATCAATTTGAAAACTGACGAACCTTTTCATTCCGTGACTGTACATACAGTTGGTTCATAATATTGCTAGTTTTGCCTGCTGCTGGATGTCGCTTGGACTGTTCTGGAATGTGGACTCACTTCTCGGATATGCTTCCTTCAAGGCACAGCTGTATCACGCAGAGCACTTCTAGCATGGAGGTGGCATTGGGCGGCGTGGGCGCCAGTAGCACGAACAGGCAGTGGGCCGGCGCGTCCGCTAGTAGCTGGATGTCGCTTGGACTGTTCTGGAAAGTGGACTCACTTCTCGGATATGCTTCCCTCGAGGCACAGCTGTATCACGCACAGCACCTCTGGCATGGATGTCGCTTGGACTGTTCTGGAAAGTGGACTCACTTCTCGGATATGCTTCCCTCGAGGCACAGCTGTATCACGCACAGCACCTCTGGCATGGATGTCGCTTGGACTGTTCTGGAATGTGGACTCACTTCTCGGATATGCTTCCCTCGAGGCACAGCTGTATCACGCACAGCACCTCTGGCATGGATGTCGCTTGGACTGTTCTGGAATGTGGACTCACTTCTCGGATATGCTTCCCTCGAGGCACAGCTGTATCACGCACAGCACCTCTGGCATGGATGTCGCTTGGACTGTTCTGGAATGTGGACTCACTTCTCGGATATGCTTCCCTCGAGGCACAGCTGTATCACGCACAGCACTTCTGGCATGGATGTCGCTTGGACTGTTCTGGAATGTGGACTCACTTCTCGGATATGCTTCCCTCGAGGCACAGCTGTATCACGCACAGCACCTCTGGCATGGATGTCGCTTGGACTGTTCTGGAATGTGGACTCACTTCTCGGATATGCTTCCCTCGAGGCACAGCTGTATCACGCACAGCACTTCTGGCATGGAGGTCGCGTTGGGCGGCGTGGGCGCCAGTAGCACGAACAGGCAGTGGGCCGGCGCGTCCGCTAGTAATTGGATGTCGTTTGGACTGTTCTGGAATTAAAAATTATTCTGGAATTAATTATAATAATCTGTATTGCCGCAAAAAAAATGCCAAGTGCACATGCTACAAATTCTGCACTATAAAGTGGCAGTTATGTATCGCAGTGATTGGGTTGAGTGAACATTATTAATAATAATATTAACAAATCAATAAATTACTGCGGGACGGAGCGTACTTATAAAAAACACATCCACTGTGGACCTTATTTTTTAAAGTCAAAAATTAACCTTATTATGACTGGGGGTCAGAGCCAAAAGACGTCCACTGCTGGACAAAGGCCTCCCCCAAGGTTTTCCACAATGAACGGTCCTGCGCTGCCCGCATCCAGGCTCTTCCCGTGACCTTTACCAGATCATCGGTACACCTAGTAGGAGGCCTGCCCACGCTACGTGTTCCAGCCCGTACGCCACTCGAGAACTTCTCTACCCCAACGGCCATGCATAAAAAAACGGATGGTTCTTATACAAACCTTATAATGACTGGCCACGTATATAGCGACTAATCTATGCAGGAACGCCTCTGCAGCGCGATGATAGCAGAACAGTGCGTCTCTATTAACTCAATAAGAGTTCACAAAGGGCTAAATGGAAAGGTTACATTAAAATAGCTTGTCTATATTCTTATACAAACCTTATAATGACTGGCACGTATATAGCGACTAATCTATGTAGGAACGCTTCGGCAGCGCGATGGTAGCAGAACAGTGCGTCGCTATCGACCAAGTAGATTTTGCAAAAGCCCTAACCTTTTAGGAAGCCACTAAATGGTAAGGTTACATGAAAAAGACTTGTCTAACTGTGGTAAACACTACATAGTATAAAACAAAATCGCTTGCCGCTGATGTATGCTTACATCCTTAGAACTACGCAACGTATTTTGATGCGGTTTTTTAATAGATAGAGTGACTTAAGAGAAAGATTTATAGGTATAAAACATGCATATTATAGAAAAGCCGGGAAATTCCATTGCAACCGTGTGAAGCCGGGGCGGGCTGCTAGTATATATTATACAAACCTTATAATGACTGGCCACGTATATAGCGACTGATCTATGCAGGAACGCCTCCGCAGCGCGATGGTAGCAGAACAGAGCATCTCTGTTGACTCAATAGAGTTCACAAAGGGCTAAATGGAAAGGTTACATTAAAATAGCTTGTCTATGTTCTTAAACAAACCTTATAGTGACTGGCCACGTATATAGCAACTAATCTATGCAGGAACGCCTCCGCACCGCGATGGTAGCAGAACAGTGCGTCTCTGTTGACCCAGTAGATTTTACAAAAGCCTCAACCTTTTACGAAGCCACTAAATGGCAAGGTTACAATATGAAGAACACTTTTCTAACTGTGGTAAATGACTACATAGTATAAAACAAAGTCGCTTGCCGCTGTCTGTCCCTATGTGTGGTTCTTTCTTTTGAACTACGCAACGTATTTTGAAGCGGTTTTTTTAATAGATAGATTGACTCAAGAGAAAGGTTTATAGGTATAAAACATGCATATTACAGAAGAGAAAAGCCGGGAAATTCCATTGAAACCGTGTGAAGCCCGGGCGGGCTGCTAGTATATATTATACAAACCTTATAGTGACTGGCCACGTATATAGCGACTAATCTATGCAGGAACGCCTCCGCAGCGCGATGAGAACAGAACAACGCGTCTCCATTGACCCACCAGATTTCACAAAGGGCTGGGGAGTAGAGCCACTAAATGGCAAGGTTACAAGAAAAAGACTTGCCTAACAATGTTCTTATACAAACCTTATAATGACTGGCCACGTATATAGCGACTAATCTATGCAGGAACGCCTCGGCAGCGCGATGGTAGCAGAACAGTGCGTCTCTGTTGACTCAATAAGAGTTCACAAAGGGCTAAATGGAAAGGTTACATTAAAATAGCTTGTCTATATTCTTATACAAACCTTATAATGACTGGCCACGTATATAGCAACTAATCTATGCAGGAACGCCTCGGCAGCGCGATGGTAGCAGAACAGTGCGTCTCTGTTGACCCAGTAGATTTTGCAAAAGCCCTAACCTTTTAGGAAGCCACTAAATGGTAAGGTTACATGAAAAAGACTTGTCTAACTGTGGTAAACACTACATAGTATAAAACAAAATCGCTTGCCGCTGATGTATGCTTACATCCTTAGAACTACGCAACGTATTTTCATGCGGTTTTTTAATAGATAGATTGACTCAAGAGAAAGGTTTATAGGTATAAAACATGCATATTACAGAAGAGAAAAGCCGGGAAATTCCATTGAAACCGTGTGAAGCCGGGGCGGGCCGTTAGTATATATTATACAAACCTTATAGTGACTGGCCACGTATATAGCGACTAATCTATGCAGGAACGCCTCGGCAGCGCGATGGTAACAGAACAGAGCATCTCTGTTGACTCTGTACAATTCGCAGGCGGCCGGGGGCGGAGCACCCACGCCTATAGACGGCGCCGGAGCCTCCAGACATAAGAGAGAGTTTAGCCAGGATTCCACCGGGTCACCGGCACGGTATCTGATCGGCTCTTCTAGTTTGATCTGGGGGAAATGGAAATTTGTTAATTTAAGATGTATAAATTATTGTAGGAAATCATTGGGGGAGGCCTATGTTCAGCAGTGGAAAGTGGCTGAAATAATACAGGTATTTTTATGAGACAGGAGGCAAACGAGCAGACGGATCCCTTATCGGTGGAAACGATAAGTGATCTCATTTGATTTATTTCTATGCCATGTGGTACTATAATACCATACATTTATGTATGGCGGTTGGAAATATTGAATTTTCGGATAGATCCAGTTAACTCTGTAACCTATTTATTAATTACGTTTGACAGAGCTCGTGAAGCACTTTTAGGAGCAGTAAACAGTTTTTAGATATCTTGTATAGTTTAGAAATAATCGAGTGAGATCACTTATCATTTCCAGCCTGTATACACGTCAGTTTACGCATATTATTGTAAAGTTTATTACAATATTTAAAAATATACTAACAGTGTTTTGACTAGCCTCAAAAATAAGTAAGCTAAAAAAAACATACATATTTTAAAATCAAAATTAACAGTTTAAAATTATTCCAAATATTTATTTTAATTTTACAATAACTATAAAGTAAAATAAATCTTTAAACGGAAATTGAAATATTTGTACGACGCTAGCGCCGCCATCTTTAAATGGGGAGAAGAAACTTGTCAGTCTGTATCATGCTCTTGAACTGTGCAGTCGTGCGTGAAAGTGTGTGAAGACGGAAAATAAAGAGTGTTATCAACAAGTTGGTGTAAATTATTCATCTGAAGCAGCATTTTCTTACATTATCAACAAACTCTCGAAGTGCTGGTAGGGTCCAAAAGATCGGGAGACATTAATAATATGTAAGTGCCCCTTAAAGGCCTTTTTAAAGTTATTTTTGACGATCATAAGTGACAAAATACTGGTCAAAATTGAATAAATATTTTTGATTTATGATGACACGTAATGGGGGCGGTGCGTTGTGTTTGCTCTGCAGCTGTGCGAACAGTTTGAGCGATAGCGCGCGGCCCGTGCCCTCGTATCCTGATACTGTTGAAGATAGAAGCACCAGCGGGCTGGAGTGACGTCAGCAGCGAGTTGGTGTGACGTCAGCAGCGAGTTGGTGTGACGTCAGCTACACTCACCGGGGGCGGGGCGTTGTGTTTGTTTTGCAGCTGTGCGAACAGTTTGAGCGATAGCGCGCGGCCCGTGCCCTCGTATCCTGATACTGTTGAAGATAGAAGCACCAGCGGGCTAGTGTGACGTCAGCATCGAGATAGTGTTACGTCAGCAGCCCTTGTGACGTCATCAACACTCACCGGGGGCGGAGCGTTGTGTTTGTTCTGCAGCTGTGCGAACAACTAGAGCGATAGCGCGCGGCCCGTGCCTTCGTATCCTGACACTGTAGAAGACAGGAGCGCTAGTGGGCTGGTGTCACGTCGGCAGCGAGCTGGTGTGACGTCAGCAGTGAGCCGTGTGACGTCAGCAACACTTCTGATACTCACCGGGGGCGGGGCGTTGTGTTTGTTCTGCAGCTGTGCGAACAACTTGAGCGATAGCGCGCGGCCCGTGCCTTCATATCCTGACACTGTAGAAGATAGAAGCACCAGCGGGCTGGTGTGACGTCAGCAGCTTGTTGTTGTGACGCCAGGAGCGAGTTGGTGTGACGTCAGCAGCACTCACCGGGGGCGGGGCGTTGTGTTTGTTCTGCAGCTGTGCGAACAGTTTGAGCGATAGCGCGCGGCCTGTGCCGTTGAAGATAGAAGGGCAAGCGGGCTAGTGTGACGTCAGCAGCGAGTTGGTGTGAAGTCAGCAGCGAGTTGGTGTGACGTCAGCAACACTCACCGGGGGCGGAGCGTTATGTTTGTTCTGCAGCTGTGCGAACAACTTAAGAGACAGTGCGCGGCCCGTGCCTTCGTATCCTGACACTGTTGAAGATAGAAGCGCAAGCGGGCTAGTGTGACGTCAGCATCGAGCTGGTGTGACGTCAGCAGTGAGCCGTGTGACGTCATCATCACTTCTGGTACTCACCGGAGGCGGGTCGTGTTGTTGTTCTGCAGCTGTGCGAATAACTTGAGCGATAGCGCAGGCTGATGGGACGTCAGCAGTGAGCTGGTGTGACGTCAGCACTGAGCCGTGTGACGTCAGCAACACTTCTGGTACTCACCGGGGGCGGGGCGTTGTGTTTGTTCTGCAGCTGTGCGAACAACTTAAGAGACAGTGCGCGGCCCGTGCCTTCGTATCCTGACACTGTAGAAGATAGAAGCGCTAGTGGCGCCTTCTGTGCGGCGGCTGATACGTGCGCTAAAGGAATGGCGGCCGCTTCGTCTACTAGCACTAAGTCTGCCGCCGCCAGTAACGAGTGGTCGTCTGGTGTGATGTACTGGAATTGAGGTAAGATAAAATATTTATTGGACTTTATACTTATACCCACAACTGATATGCAAAATTGTATGTTCTTATTGCCCTCACAATACCTCTGACCCGAACCTCTGGTATAGTAGTCTATTCGACATTCAACGACAGTGGGTTCGCGACAAGATTTACGTAATATTGGCAGCTTGGAATTTGGTTAAAATTTTCTAAAATTGACTCCATTTGCGACAAGAAACACCCACACAAGAACTCAAGAACCACTTTGATATTGTAAAGACATTTATTTGGTACCTTCTGTTTCCTTCGGGGGGAGTTTTAATTAGCTAGTTAAGGGGTTCGCTGTCACCTGGAAACTTTAACAGGGGTTCGTGGAGCCGAATGTTTGAGAAACCCTGAATGCTTAGACGTTGCAGCTCATTTACATAGTCAGCCAATAATATCACGATGATTCAATAGGCTTTTTATATTTTTTAAATTCTCTTGAAATTCGACTATATGGCAATGTTACATAGCTTTGTAAATATCTCTTAACAATGTGATGTAAAGGTCAATATTGCTTATGTTCGCTTACCTGAACAGTCTGCCTCGAATTCCTCGCGATATTGATCCTCACAATTGCCTTCTTGAAATCGGGGTTCGTGGACCTCACGATGTTATAATCTATGTGCTCCTGGTACAGACACGCATCCAGACCTTTGAGTACGAACTCAAAGAGCGTGATTAAATTCTCAGGGTGAGGGGAAGTGACGTAGATGTTGACGTAGCCTAGGGCAACCGCGGCGGAGACTGCTAGGCCGAGACACGCGGATTTGCCCCGACCTCGGGCGGCGGTTAGGCAGTGTGGAGGCCTACAAAGAGATATTGATATATTTATTCCATTTATTTTTATAACTGTTTCATTTTCGGATAAGTAGTGTCTTAAATCCTATTGAGGTTTGCCATACACTATTGTTTTCTAGATAATTACCACAGATTAACATTTGGTTGTTTCAATCATAGTTATTCAGTATATTCATTGCTAGATAGTTCAAGAGCAATATTGAGGTACAGTTCATAAGCAATATTGGTGTATATAGCTCCTGAGCAATATTTGTGTATAGCTCATGAGCAATATTGGTTTAGAATTCATAAGCAATATTGGTGTATAGCTCATGAATGACACCAGTTTAAAGTTCATGAACAATATTGGCATGTAACTCATGAGCGATATTGGTTTGAAGATCATACGCAATATCAGTACATGTCTTATTTACTTCATTTCCTTTACACAAATAAGCTCTTTAATAGTTTAAGAAATGTCACCATTTCACTTAATGTTTAATTAATTAAATTAATTTAACTACGATTATTTATTAGTTTAAGAAATATGACTGTTTCTCTTAAAATTTAATTAATTTACCTGGATTGTTTATCAGCTAAGGTGTTGATAAGAGCTACTAGGGCAGTCGCTTGATCGTAGGTCCGGCAGAGAGCCACCAGTGGGCCGGCGGGCGGCGAGTCCGACAAAGATGACACTAGCTCTGTCAGCTTTGGGTTTACACGCTAAAATAGAGAACACTATATTAAGTCATGAGTACAGTGGTACCTACCATTGGGATGGGGAAAATTGGGATAGGAATGGGACAACAGATTGGACGAACGATCTGTGACCAACTAAATTTCACGCGGGTGAAGCCGCGGGCTAAAGCTAGTTTAATTATAAGGGGATTTCAGAATAAGATTAAAAAATAAAAAATTTGAATTTGATTTTCAGACTATTATAAGAAGTAAGTGGGGGCAAAGCCTGATTGCTTTCTTAAATTGCCCATAGATATTTAGTTACCAGGACACATTCTATTTCTAGTAAAAACTTTACTAATTTTCAATACTATCTTTTTTATTGGTAAACCTACCTCTGGTGTAGCATGAACAGGCTCCACTTGTGCCGTCTTCGACGAAATAGGCAATACAGTCAGATTGTCGTCTAAAATGAGACATCTGGGGTTGTCGGCCAGTGATAACAGAAACCGCTCATTGAATCTGTTCACTACTGCATCGTGAGCTTCCGTTTTGAATCTGAAATTTTAAAGTGATTGTTCTAGCACTTAACTCTGGCAGTGCCTGAGGTATGAGGAAGCGTTAGAGCGCTTGTAGACGTCCGTTTTTTTCACCGGACAACGACCCGATTTTTTCACCGGATTTAGCGGTGGCGTATGGTTTATAATGAACGTGTGCACATGCATCGGACATAGGTCCGGCGAGAAAATTGACAGCAAACAAAGGATATCCGTTTTTTGACGGTCCGTCGTCCGGTGAAAAAACGGACGTCTACAAGCGCTCTTAGGAGAGGGTGTTTTTGAGACGTGAAATGTCAGCAAGGCTTCAGATTTGTATGCTCTGTCACATCATGATATGTCAATGTTACCCCTCTCATGTACGTATGTGTCAACTTTTTAGTTGTATACTTTATAAATGTTACTTGTATTAAAAGTATTAGTAGTTTCCATACTTTACCTTGAATGAACATCCATGGTAATTGAATGTAGCTGCCGTAAAGAGTCCATAGTTTTGAGCAAGAATATGATCAATCCACCGCCTTCGACTGTCTCTATAGTGCGAGCCATTAAATTTGGAGTCAGGGCTTCGAAGTCCTAGAAAAAAAAAGTCATTAACATTTTACGGTAACAACATGCATGATTTATATAAATTATGTCTATTGACGAACCTGCAGAACACAAACACCGTACGTTTGACCCAGCATGGCATGACTCTCTGAGTAATATCTTCCGTGGATTGTAGTAGCTACTCGAAATGCATCAAATAGTGACTCTTCTGATACCTCCAGCTTTCCTGCTGCTATTTTCTTTGCTCTTTTACGACCATGACTATAATTTGAGAGTAATTTTATTAAATAGAGAATTATATGAAAAAATATCCCAGTAGAAAACTGAATCAGGCAAGTATCTGACCATAAGAGGATGATAGATATTGTTTTTGATATTATAAGGGCTTAAAATTTTATATAGATTTACTTACTTGCTAATAGCTTCGTCTTTATTTTTATAGCACCACAGCACAGTAGGCCTCGCTTTTACGGTGGATTTTAACAACATATCGTACAAGATTGGCACCTAAAAGGTAAAGGGAATATTAAATCATAGGAAAACGTTCCTTAAAAGTTTATTTTAACGTAATAAACTTACCTGGTCCCTACTTTTATCTCCCACAAGAAGAAACATAGTCCTATGTCCCAACTTGACTCCATTCTCAATCATAACCCTGATACGGTTGTCGATCTTCTTCTTCACCATTTTCACTAATTAATAAACTATGTATTTCTGAGAAAACTGTTAAAACTTAACGCGTGTCATATTTTTTAGTTTGGCTAAAAGTTTTTCTAACCTAAAAATTACGCATGTTATTTGTTTTGACAGATAGATTTTTTTTCTGCCTAATTTAGTGAAGTGGTAATTATAATCGATAAACATATCCAATTAATTGAATATTTGCGATGCTTGTGAATAGATTAAAACCAGCGTAAAGAACCTTATCTATGAAAGAAGCCAGACAAAAAACCCAGTAAAAATGATTCATTCATTTATTTAAAAATTCCAAGTACATGAAACACAGTTCATAAGGCTTCGAAGTTCGATTCGAAGTGACGATAGCTGAACGGTTAAGGTAAGGTAAGGATGTGTCAGACTGGCTGATTGAGCTGATTCATAATCCAAGGAAATGCGAGTTTGAATCTCGCTGCTGCAGCAGATTGACTATTGTAGTTTGTAGTGAACCTATTCATAATCTAATATTGTAGCTTACCGCATATATACTTTTTTTGCAGTTTCTTTTTATAGAATTACTGCTCCATGAATGAAGCGATTCTATAAAATGTAAATGCCACGTTTTGTATCTTGCCTTGGAGAGAAGGCTGGCTGTACATTTTATGCTACACCGCACTCCGCAGTGCTTGTGCTTTGCGATGTGAATCTACCCAGCCTCGACTCGAATCTTTTTGGGACCTCCCAAAAAGGCAAAACACGTGCTGGAGAAGTGGAGACCCGGCACAACATACTCATAAAATTAATGTTGTCATTTTAAGCTTTCAGCTGTGCAAAGTTGCAAACTGTGCATAAAAATAACGGTATTAAGATATTAAGGATCACTTGACGTTAAGAATATTTTTTATATGGCAACAAACATCTATCCGCGTCCGCCGGCGTGCTGTCAATGTCAATAGCAACAAGAAATTTTTTAGCTAAATTTCGAGTTTTCTCAATTAATTCTTATAAATAATTGAACCAAAAACAATTATGTGAATCCTTTTCATCTTTAAGCTTACCCTCAACGCTTTACGCTAAGCTAAAGTGTTACATGTTACAATTTACTGCCCTTATTGGTTACGGTGGTAGAAATCGTGAAAATGGCAAAATCTCAAATAAATACTAAATCCAGCAGCTATATAAAGGATAAAGACGCATTTCTGAAGGAGCTGAAGCAGTTTAATGAGTCTAAAAAGTGAGTATGGACCTCCTGTGAGCCTACGTAACTAGCTTCCGTATGTACTTTTATTGAGTTGAATTTACTATCATCAGTAGAAGCTATTGGACGCTACACACTCGATGCATCGTTATATTTGCTAAAAATATTATTACAATTTTTTTTCAACATATACCTACCTAATTCAGTTAACCATTTTGTAAAACATGATGTTCCACTTGAATATTTTAGTGACAGAACAATCATAGAATTATTTTGAATAAGATTCAAATTCTAAATACTAATAAATTCTATGTTATCTTTTCATTTCAGCATACCATTCAAAGTCCCAATAGTGAATGGGATTGAAATAGATTTGTTTCACTTATATTCACTGGTGCAGCAAAGAGGCGGACTCGGCAAGGTAAATATTTCAACAAGCTACAATATTGTGATTATTTGATGATATTACTATAGGTTTAGTTAGCACTTAATTCAGTTAGTGACTGAGATAAGGTAGTAGCACAGGAGGGTGTTTATGATGTCAGGTTTGTATTCTCTGTCACGTCATTATTCGTCATGTCACCCATCCTGTGCCACTCTCATACCTCAGACACTGATTAAATGACTGAGTTAAATGCTAGAACTATAGTTTTATTACTGTACTTACCCTCTACATATCAAGATAAACACGTTATATTGTTTTAGGTCAACCAGAATGACACGTGGGAATCATTTCTAAGGCCATTGAGGCTGCCACATCCCTGTGTGAATGGTTCCACTTTACTCAGAAGACTGTACGGAACTTATTTAGAAAAGTAAGTATTTAAGATATTTAAGGCAACACAAACATTTTTGGAAACCCTTGGGGGAGGCCTTTGTCCAGCAGTGGACGTTATTTGACTGAAACGAACAAAACAATTTTATGTGCTCTCATTTTAAAAAGACTGTCTTCTTCTTACAAATGTGGATGAGAATATTCAAAATGTTTTTTTTTGTAAAATGGGTCATAGGCTTCTAAGATTTTGTGAATAAGGGGTGAAATATTTTTGTGTTCTTAATATTATCTAGCTTTTTAATAGATTATTAGCTTTCTCGTTGTGGATAAAAAAAAAATCCAGTAGGCCTAAGATGCGCGCCGCGATATGCGGTTATCACGCCATTTTATCGATTTTGCCCATACATTTTGACGTCGATAAAAGTTATCACGGAGCGCATCTTAGGCCTACAGGTAGTATCCATGTTTAATGCAATTAGAATCAAATTACATACATTTTTTTAACTCACTTTAATTTAAACTGTTTCAACCATAGATATGAAAGAGCCAGAGGTCCTCCTGGACGTGACGATGACATGGACTTGGACGAAGACCCTCGGAGAAGCCGAGGGGGCATGCCAAGAATCTCCTTCGGCGGAGGCAGCGTCTACATTTCAGGTAGCTTGTTTATTATTCCATGTCTTTGATATGTCATTAAAGTTAGGTCTCCGAGCAGATAGAATTTCGTCCAATGACCCCAAGCTACCCATCCTTATAGCTCGCGCGTAATTATATTGCTGTCGCGACTGTGCGACCGGCGCCGGGCGGCCACAATGAGTGTGCGAGCGCGACAGCAATATAATTACGCGCAGGCGATAAGGATGGGTAGCTTGGGGTCATTTTACGATATTCTATGAGCTCGGTGACTGACGACTTTAGCTTTATTTAAAGGATAATCAAGATTAATATTGGAATTCCCAATCAGCTTTGATAAAAGAAAGACTAGATCTGTTCTAAGATCTCATGATATTTTTTAATATTTAAAAATATTTTCAAAAAGTACCTAATACTTATTATTTTTGAAGAAATGTTAAATGAACATTAGTCCTGTTGCTAAATAATAATAATAATGATGATGATGACACTACTATGGTGTCCAGGTATTTTTTGCACCAACTATGTTCATTGAACAGCCAAAAAATGTGCTTACATTATGACTGTTTCTAATACAGACTACAGTCATCAATTTCTTTCTATTTTTGCTATTACCTATTTTAACATCTTCAAATCACAAAGTTTATGTGATTAGCAATGTCATTGTTGGCGTTTTAAAACCGTAAGTTATGTAAATACATAATTCAATTCAGTATTTTGATTTCATTCTTAGCTGAGTTTAGTTTTAGATTAGTTTATTGTTGATTTTACCTGACAGCAACTATTACTAATTTTACAAACCAACCAATAAAAATCCATGAAAACACTTTTTCGGGGCCAAATTTCAGTAATATACTAACAAAAAATATTTGCTGTCTGGTTATACAAAATATTTAACTTGACTAGTAAGCTATCTCAGCACTCAGCACTTCTATTTCTATAGCACCTGAATTTTATCACATATTTATATTTTGTATTGCTATTTAGATTTCGATAGCCCTAATGCACCTTTCACCCTATTAGGTTAATAAATTGTAGATTACTGTAGTTACTCATTAAATCATATCTTTTTCCAAATAAACATTGGCACCCTGTACTCCACAAATGTATTTATTCCAATATAGCAGTCTCTTTTCCATTTGTTATATTTTAGAAAGTAGTTCATTCCTCATAATTTGCGTACATTTAGCATCCTTTTCATAAGTTGCTTGCTATACCAATTCTTTCCCACCCATATCAATCTTTCTAGAATCTCATTTAGCTAGTGTTCAAAATAGCACACTTGACCTTATTTGTTTCATTGTAGAATTAGTGTCTCTATTGCATATCTGTATCTCTCTCTTCTTCCCACTCTTAGCATTCCTTGTCACCTATTAGCTAGCACCCTTAACATTAGTTACTTGTTATAGCATCTCTTTCTTCCATTAGTATCCTTAATTCTCTCTCACAGCATCTCATGGCTCCTAGAAAGTAAGCCACGCCTCCTCCCGTCTTAGCTCCTCCCCCCGTCCGGTCCTAGTTTCTATTCTCTCGCCATAACTGCCCCACCCCGGCTATACGTAGTAGTTTGTGTACATTAGCACCCCCCTTAAGGTAGTCTTTAGAACTAAGTGTCACAGACGCAGCGTCTTTAGCTTTGATCTTAAAGGTAGTCTTTGGAAGCGAGTTAGTGACGCGGCGTTGGTGGCACAAGACCAAAGCTAAAGACGCTGCGTCTGTGACGCTTAGTTCGAAAGGCTACCTTTAGTTACACTATCTCTTTCTACCATCCATATCATTATCTCTAGAATGAATTTATAGCTGGTGTTCATAACCTTTACCTTATTAGTTTCTTTGTAGTTACTTGCTATAGCATCCCCAGCATCCACCCGTATCATTCTCCCTGCCTAGGTTACGCCTCCTGTCACTTTAACCGACTCCCTCCGACTCGCCTTAGTTTTGATTCTCTTTCTCCCACCCCCAATCTTTCTCTCTCTCTCTCTCTCTCTCTCCATCTCTGTCAGCATCTCATGCCTCCTAGAACGTAGGCCACGCCTCCTCGCCTTAGCTCCTCCCCCCGGCCGGTCCTAGTTTGTGTTAATGGCACCGTCAGCCATATCATGTCCTCTAGAACGTATTTGTCGCCCTGTCACGTAGCTAATGTTGGACACAGCATTCTTTAGCCTATTAGTTTCAATGTAGAATTAGTGCTTTTCTCTTCTTCCCACCCGTATCATCCTTGCTGCCTCCCCCCGGCCGGTCCTAGTTTGTGTTAATGGCACCGTCAGCCATATCATGTCCTCTAGAACGTATTTGTCGCCCTGGCACGTATCTCATGTTGGACACAGCATTCTTTAGCCTATTAGTTTCAATGTAGAATTAGTGCTTCTCTCTTCTTCCCACCCGTATCATCCTTGCTGCCTCGCCCCGGCCGGTCCTAGTTTGTGTTAATGGCACCGTCAGCGTCAGGTGAGGCGATCCGCGCGGGCTCCCGCGTGGCCGGCCCGTCGGAGCGGCTGGCGCTGTCTTTGCTGTCTCCGATGCCGAACGAACAATACTAGCATCTTTCATTCATTCACGAACATTGACACTCTTGTTCCATGCGTCTAATACTGTAGCACCTTGTCCACCATTCATATCATTCCAGACAGTACTCGAAACATACCTCTCGCCATAACTGCCTCTCCCCGGCCTGTGCGTCATGGTTTGTGTACATTAGCACCCTCCTTAGTTACAAGCTATCTCTTTCTCCCATCCTTATCATATTTCTGGAATGTATTTGTAGCTAGTGTTCATAATAGCACTTTTAACCCTATTTAGATACATCGTAGTTACTTGCTATAGCAGCCCTAGTTTCCACCCGTATCATTCTCCCTAGCTAGGTCACGCTTGCTGTCACCTTAACCGACTCCCTCCGACACGCCTTAGTTATGATTCTCTTTCTCCCACCCCCAATCTTTCTCTCTCTCTCTGTTAGCATCTCATGCCTCCTAGAACGTAGGCCACGCCTCCTCGCCTTAGCTCCTCCCCCGATGTTTATAATACCATTCTTTACCTGTTAGTTTGTAGATTTAGTGTCATTCATTCCACCTCTCTTTTCCTTCCACCCTTATCACCCTTACTGCCTCCCCGGCCGGTCCTAGTTGTGTTAATGGCACCGTCAGCGTCAGGTGAGGCGATCCGCGCGGGCTCCCTCGAGGCCGGCCCGTCGGAGCGGCTGGCGCTGTCTCTGCTGACCCCGATGCCGAACGAGCAAGACTTCGCATGTCTTTCATTCATTCACGAACATTTGCACTCTTTGTTCCATGTGTCTAACACTATAGCAACTTGTCCACCATTCATATCATTCCAGACAGTACTCGAAACATACCTCTCGCCATAACTGCCTCTCCCCGGCCTGTGCCTCGTGGTTTGTGTACATTAGCACCCTCCTTAGTTACAAGCTATCTCTTTCTCCCATCCTTATCATATCTCTGGAATGTATTTATAGCTAGTGTTCATAACAGCACTTTTAACCCTATTTAGATACATCGTAGTTACTTGCTATAGCAGCCCTAGTTTCCATCCGTACCGACTACCTCCGACACGCCTTAGTTTTGATTCTCTTTCTCCCACTCCCAATCTTTCTCTCTCTCTCTCTCTCTCTCTCTCGGTCAACATCTCATGCCTCCTAGAACGTAGGCCACGCCTCCTCTCGCCGTAGCTCCTCCCCCGATGTTATAATAGCATTCTTTACTCTATTCTCCCACCCATATCATACTCTCTAGTATTTGTCGCCCTCCGACCTTTGAGCCTCCTTTGCCCTTAACCGCCCTTAAAGGAATCTGCTGCCTTGTCCATTTCCATATTATTTAGCACTCTTTAGTTACTCGTAGAACATCTCTTTCTCGCTCTTTCTCACCAGCGCCTCCTAGAAAGTAGTCCACACCCTATTTCCTTTCTACCTCCCCCCGGCTGGTCCTAGTTTGTGTTAATGGCACCGTCAGCGTCAGGTGAGGCGATCCGCGCGGGCTCCCGCGTGGCCGGCCCGTCGGAGCGGCTGGCGCTGTCTCTGCTGTCCCCGATGCCGAACGAACAAGACTAGCATCTCTCATTCTTTCACGAACATTGACACTCTTTGTTCCATGCGTCTAACACTCTATTAGTGTCTATAACACATTTTCCCCCCACTCATATCATTGTAGAAAGTACTGGCATCCTTACCTCTCGCCATAACTGCCCCCCACCGGCTATACGTAGTAGTCTGTGTACATTAGCACCCTCCTTAGTTACAAGCTATCTCTTTCTTCCATCCTTATCATATCTCTGGAATGTATTTATAGCTGGTGTTCATAATAGCACCCTCTACCTTATTAGTTTGTTTGTAGTTACTTGCTATAGCAGCCCTAGTTTCCACCTGTATAATTCTTCTTGCCTAGGCCACGCCTCTGTTACCTCTCCTTAGTTTTTGAACACCAGCACCCTTAACTGTATTAGTTATATTGTAGTTATTACTTACTATAGCAGCTCTAGTATTCACCCGTATCATTCTCCCTAGCTAGGTCACGCTTGCTGTTACCTTAACCGACTCCCTCCGACTCCCTCCGACACGCCTTAGTTTTGATTCTCTTTCTCCCACCCCCAATCTTCCTCTCTCTCTCTATCTCTCTCTCTCTGTGTCAGCATCTCATGCCTCCTAGAACGTAGGCCACGCCTCCTCGCCTTAGCTCCTCCCCCCGGCCGGTCCTAGTTTGTGTTAATGGCACCGTCAGCGTCAGGTGAGGCGATTCGCTCGGGCTCCCGTGTGGCCGGTCCGTCGGAGCGGCTGGCGCTGTCTCTGCTGTCCCCGATGCCGAACGAACAAGACTTCGCATGTCTTTCATTCATTCACGAACATTTGCACTCTTTGTTCCATGTGTCTAACACTATAGCACCTTGTCCACCATTCATATCATTCCAGAAAGTACTCGAAGCCTTACATCTCGCCATAACTGCCCCTCCCCGGCTATACGTAGTAGTTTGTGTACATTAGCACCCCCCTTAGTTACAAGCTATCTCTTTCTCCCATCCTTATCATATCTCTAGAATGTATTTTAGCTGGTGTTCATAGTAGCACCCTCTACCTTATTAGTTTTTTTGTAGTTACTTGCTATAGCAGCCCTAGTTTCCACCTGTATCATTCTTCTTGCCTAGGCCACGCCTCTTTTACCTCGCCTTAGTTTTGATTCTCTTTCTCCCACTATTTCTCTCTCTGTCATCATCTCATGCCTCCTAGAACGTAGGCCACGCCTCCTCGCCTTAGCTCCTCCCCCCGGCCGGTCCTAGTTTGTGTTAATGGCACCGTCAGCGTCAGGTGAGGCGATCCGCGCGGGGTCCCGCGTGGCCGGCCCGTCGGAGCGGCTGGCGCTGTCTCTGCTGTCTCCGATGCCGAACGAACAAGACTTCGCTGTCAACGTGTGCACCGTGCTTGCTGCGGACCATTCGAATCGATTGCCGTTGGCGTCCACGCCGCATATACTGGACTTTCTGTTGGCGCATGCGGGCGTTTATAATCATTGTGAGTATTATTTGATTTTTTTTATTAAGTTTTAGAGTACGATTTTATCTAAGGATTTCATGAGCAGCCACTGCTTCTGATCTATCCAAACAATGATTTGATTTACTCCAAGTCAGTACGTATTCAACTAAAATAAACCGCAGCAAAGTTGTCATTACCTGTATTTTAATGAATAAATTACGCTGTAGCGGTAATTTAGGGACTAGGCCCTAACCGTTTGTAGACACTGGGCAATTTCCGCCAGTGGGCGATACATTACTAATGCCCATTTTCACCATCAATCCCTAATTTTTAAGTGACCCTTAAGGTAACACATTAAAGGAATTTTGTTTTCATAGGGGTCACTAAAAATTAGGGATTGATGGTGAAAATGGGCATAAGTCTTCCAGTTGGCCTCCCTACCTACTGGGAAAAATGAGTTTCTTGTTCCTCAGTGTTGGATTTCTAAACAAAAAAAAATCCAACTATTGGTTTTGTTTTAATTTCCACTTCTCCACAGCGAGTCTCCGCGACACAATCGGCCGCTCCTACTTCGAAGCCCGAGGCCGTTACCCCGACGAGTTCTGGAAGATGAGAGCCGGGGGCGGAGGCGCGAGAGAACTAGCTGACGAGACCAAGTTCATGCAGCCAGGATTGGAACAGCCAGAACTGATGGTTCAGGCGTTGGCAGCACATAACACGCTGACTGACTGCCTCATGCAGGAAGATGCAGAGACTGATGTCTTAGAGAAGATGCTGGAAGATGTAAGTACCTTCTGATACTGCAGGTCATGTTCAAGATCGAGACTAAGTTCATGCAGCCAGGATTGGAACAGCCAGAACTGATGGTGCAGGCGTTGGCAGCACATAACACGCTGACTGACTGCCTCATGCAGGAAGATGCGGAGACTGATGTCTTGGAGAAGATGCTGGAAGATGTAAGTACCTTCTGATACTGCAGGTCATGTTCAAGATCGAGACTAAATTCATGCAGCCAAGGTTAGAGCAGCCAGAATCAGTTCTGACAAGAAATCTTAATGTTACTGCTAGGTTTGGGCTGTGCGTTGATAGATCACTATGTCAGTCAGTCAGTCACCTTTGAGTTAAATAAATTAAGATTGTATATGCAAACCCTAACGTGTATGGCCACCATTAGCAGCCCATAACACGCTGACTGACTGCCTCATGCAGGAGGACGCGGAGACTGATGTCTTGGAGAAGATGATGGAAGACGTAAGTACCTTCTGGTGTAAGACTGAGATGCAGGATCAATATGCTGAATTATAAGTGTTCGAAAAACATATTCGTCATAAGCGAATTCCTGTCCCTAGCTGTTTAAAGAGTTAGCAAAACGATTAGTGCGAGTTAATAAAATGTCGAAAATGTAGGATTTGTTTACTATTGTAACGTTGTGAACTATGGTCTTTCTAATAAAAATAAATACACATCTCTAAATTACATCCATCTCCTCAGGACATGCTAGAAGACTGGGTGACCGAGCCGTCCGAAGAGAAGCAGCTTTTCGCACCGGTACTACCAGGTGGCGCTATGTGTGTTTACACACAGCGGGTGCTACAGATCGCTTCGATCGTCCGCTCGCTGTCCTTCCACGAGGAGAACGTGCAGTATCTGGCGAGAAATACTACTCTGATAAGGTGAGTGACATGTTTTTATAATACGCTGATAAGTTATGTATGTGATAATTTGTTGACACCCCACGGAAATTATGACAACATCAATAAATATCTTTGGACAATTTCACACAGCGCCATCTAGCCCAAGTAAACAACTAATATGCTTGTGTTATGGGTGCTAGCTTAACGAATAAAGAAAGTAATCACGTCTGGAGGGACTCTTTCAACAGATAGTAGCGATATAGTTATTTTAAATCTTGTTGACTGGTATTATAATCCAAAAATTATGAGAAATTTCAATTTGTCGACGCGTAAAAGACGCTTGTGACTAAACTTAATTTGAGGTGTTTATTTGTGATTGTAGTTTATTGATTTCCTTTAATCAGAAATTGCGTTACATGCGACATAGTGACTAAACAAAACATGCAACTACTAATTACCACGTGCACCTCGAAAGGTATAGCAATTACTAGGAGAGTGGCAGACATTCTACGATTGATGTTTGTGGTATCATAACTTCCAAAATCACGATAACCAATCTTAACAACTAATATCTGTTGGCGGTTTCCATTCAGCAAATTGTTTTTACAGATTCCTGCTCCTCTGTGCCAACTGCTGGGTTGGCTCCCTGAGGCAATCTGGACTGGACACTCTTGGGAATGTCTCTACAGAACTCGTAATAAAGGTAAGCGAATACATGCAGTCTGTTTTTGATATTTTTATGAAATATGGAACATTTTTGTTTCGTGAGTCGATCGTTTTTTGTTTCATTTCTCTAACAATCTAAGAAAGACTGCATATCAGTACTGTGACGTCACCGATAGGTCGCTTAACAAAAGTTGAGGCGGACACGTACTTACACTGATATAAAATTTGAAAGCAGAACACAACCTCACTCTTGTTAAATGTATCAAGTGAGACAGAGAGCACTTGTCAGCTCGACTATGCAAGACGTTAGAGCATACAGTGTATACCATAGAGATATAGAGAGATGTCAACTAATGCGCTGAGTTCGAAACTCAGTGTCGCATTAGAAATTCACATACACAAAAAAATAAAAATATGTGCTCATTATCCACTGCGGTATCAGTACTCAACTTCGAATAATCTTTAGTACTATGCAAGAAATGTAAGCTGTTTACATTATGACGTCGCTGCTGTCATCATTGCTTTCACGAGCAATGTGTTCTGTTTTTGGGCATATTGCTGCTACACCGGCCCCGGCCCCTTGTCATAATTACCTCCTTTTAGTTTCTGTGATCTGTGGTATATACAGATACAAGTCTTTGCTTGTGTTGATTACTGTTGATGGCCTCAACTCTCGTTGGGCAACCCCAAACGTTGGGTGACCAAATAGGTGCTATTTCGTACGTAACAAATGTATTTTTTACATGTAAGACAACATACGTTTTTTTTTCAGGATCCAGCGACGTGTCTGATATCACGGCACGTGTTGTCGACCATACAATCGGCGCTAGTGTCGCCGGATCGTGCGAGGGTACTCGCCGCTTTGGAGCTGTTGAACAAACTCGCGCAAAACGAGGTCAATGAGGACGCGCTGCTGAAGGCTTTGGAGGCCAAGGTAAAATACATCTTATGTCTTTAAGTAGATTCTAATTTGATCCGACGTGTCTGATATTACGTCACGTGTTGTCAACTATACAATCGGCGCTAGTGTCGCCAAATGTCGCTTTGGAGCTGTTGAACAAACTCGCGCAGAACGAGGTCAATGAAGACGCGCTGCTGAAGGCTTTGGAGGCTAAGGTAATTGGCATCTTATGTCGTTGAAATAGAGTCTAATTTGATAAGACATTGATGTCACGTCACGTGTTGTCGACTATACAATCGGCCTAGTGTCGCCAAATGTCGCTTTAGAGTTGTTGAACAAGCTCGCGCTGAATGAGGTCAATGAAGACGCACTGCTGAAGGCTTTGGAGGCTAAGGTAAAATGCATCTTATGTCGTTGTAATAGCTTCTAATTTGATTCGACGTGTTTGATATCAAGTCACGTGTTGTCGACTATACAATCGGCGCTAGTGTCGCCAAATGCCGCATTGGAGCTCTTGAACAAACTCGCGCAAAACGAGGTCAATGAAGACGCATTGTTGAAGGCTTTGGAGGCCAAGGTAAATGGCATCTTATGTCGTTGAAATAGAGTCTAATTTAGCTTAGTAATGTGTCTGATATCACGCCACGTGTTGTCGACCATACAATCGGCGCTAGTGTCGCCGGATCGTGCGAGGGTACTCGCCGCTTTGGAGCTGTTGAACAAACTCGCGCAAAACGAGGTCAATGAGGACGCTCTGCTGAAGGCTTTGGAGGCTAAGGTGAAAGACGTCTTATGTCGTTGAAATAGAGTCTAATTTGATGTGTCTGATATCACGCCACGTGTTGTCACTATACAATCGGCCTAGTGTCGCCAAAAGTCGCTTTGGAGCTGTTGAACAAACTCGCGCAGAACGAGGTCAATGAGGACGCATTGTGGAAGGCTTGGAGACATCTTTGTAACACCTACTGATCAAAATTGTAACACCTACTGATGTAAACCCATTTTCGCAAAATAAATGATTTGATTTGATTTGATCTCATGTCGCTGTAATACATTCTAATTTGATGAGACGTGACTGATATCACGTCACGTGTCGCCGACCATACAATCGGCGCTAGTGTCGCCGGACCGAGCGTGGAAGCTCGCCGCTCATATGTCGTTGTAATAGGTTCTTATTTGCGAAAAAAACATTGTTTGAAGGGCTATGAACTGTAGAATATTTTCGTGAAATATTTTGTACACGTAGTCCCGAGTTCAAATGGGCATACTTTTAAAATGCTGTTTTATACTAGTTTGTTTTTAGTGGGGTGAGCATGAATCGGGATGATTTCAGTCCCGAGAAGTTACTTGATTTATATTTTCATACCTATGCTTTGTTCGATATTGTATAAGCGCCGTGGAAAGGGCATATAAATACTGAATACATGATTTTATATTGTTGATGAACAAGTGATTGTTTCCTTCAGGTGTACAGCGACGTGTGCTCGCTACTTACGCTGCGAGACATCATGGTGTTAGTGTGTACGCTGGAATGCGTGTACGCTCTGACGTCACTCGGCGACCGAGCGAGCGAGGCGGTCGCTAGAGTACCAGGTCTTGTCCACACTCTGGTGTCTCTGGTCACAGTCGAGGTGAGAAAGCTTGTCCCGAGTAGTGAGCGCGTTAAAAATGTCATTATATTGTCATCAATAGTGACTGAGTTTCTTGCGCTGCTTCTTCTCAGCACTGGCCCATTTATTGTCCCGAAGCAGTGGTAGGGTTAATATTGGGACGTGTAAAAGCGCTTTTTTAAAGCCTATTTGCAAAAATAAATAAATTTTATGAATTTTATTAAATGTATGACGGATTGTACAGCGCCCCTAGCGGAAACTGAGGAACTAAAATTTTCATGTTTTTTAACACGCTCACTAGTGAAGACGTTTGATGTAAACTCACACTAAGCCCTCCGTTGGTGTAAAATCAACTATTTGTCACACCCAAAGTAGCCAAAAAGTTCGCAATACGTCTTTGTTACATTTGGAATAAGGTTGTATTGTCAACTTTTTGCCCATTTTGGCTAACTATTTGATGCTGACTGAACAAATGACTGCTGACGCTGCGAGACCTCGTGGTGGTGTACAGATGTTTTTACAATAAATTTACTTTTAAGTTGATTGTTAATAGCTTGCATGCAACCGCTCAATTAGAAATTTTATTCCTCAGTTTTATCTTTTGGTAAACAATACAATTATTAAGATGGCATACTTCCGAAACATTATAGCATTGTATAATCGTTTTATCTACGAAGACGCGCCCCACCAATATAGCGGGGAGTTTGATCCGAGGAATCCGAGCGTCATTATTGTAGCGTGCGTGTGCACTAATGGATATTTAGCGTGTACCGATAACACTCAAACATTCGTGGAAGAATAGTGGGTCACGTCTTCGTGGATGAAACGATCTATATGTGGTTGTCATAGGTGCTATTTTACAACGAATATACTGTCCCCAGGCTCAAAGCTACGGGCCGCGCGCGTGCATTCTCATGCGCGTAGTTGAAACGGTGAGCGGGCCGAGCGCGCTCGCCGCCGCCGCCGAGCGCGACGCAGACAGACACCCGCCGCACCAGGTAACGTTGGTTAGCGGAGAACGGAGACTCAGCAGGCTCCGAGCTACTCAGTGGCGGAGACGTGAGCGGGCCGAGCGCGACAGACAGGCACCCGCAGCACCAGGTAACGTTGGTTCGCTTCGGAGAACAGAGACATCTCAGCAGGCTTACTTGCATAGACTGATTAAACTAGTTAGTACAAATCGTCGAATGCAAATCCTACCAGCAGCACTTTTCCCAGCCAGGTTGACAGGCTGCTGGAAGTGGGTAGGAGTGGGAGAACATCACAGGTTTTCACAGGCTTCTGGAATTGGCCAGGAGCCAAATAATGAAAAATATCGTGGCACTGGACATTTAACCCACGACCGTTTAAGGTGGTCAGAGGGCCCAGTGTTAGTTTACATCAAACGCGCTCACATATCAGGGATTGTACAGCGCCCCTAGCGGGAAACGTTCAAAATCTAAAATTTTCATACATTAGTGAGCGCGTTTGATTTAAACTCAGTCAGCCCACAGAAGTGAAAAAAGATTAATTAGTAATAAAAATCGCCTGCATCAGGTGAATAATCCCACGACTTTTTGTTAGCAGGGCGACGGTTCTGACTGAGCTGCAGACATATGCTTGTCACGTTCACTTAGATGATCCTGTATGTATCTGAAATCATAATAGAGATGGATTGGTTAACTCATAACTTTTTAAGTGTGCTATTACTCAGCGAGCCAGCGTTTCATTGTTTTAAAACCAATAGAATTTCCTGGTTTCCTGGTTCTAAAAATATATGAAACGACTGACTTTGATCTCAAATACTACGACGCACAGTGGTGCTACAGCTTTGGTGTCATAGTAACAAATGCTAAGGCGGACGTATTCTGTCAGAATACAGCACTTTTTTTTTGGCTGACATTTTTGATTTTGAACAAAAAATGTATGAATCTTCGACGAATTTTAGATCTCAAATACTCGACGCACAGTGGTGCTACAGCTTTGGTGTCATAGTAACAAATGCTAAGGCGGACGTATTCTGTCAGAATACAGCACTTTTTTTTGGCTGACATTTTTGATTTTGAACAAAAAATCTATGAATCTTCTACGAATTTTAGATCTCAAATACTCGACGCACAGTGGTGCTACAGCTTTGGTGCCATAGTAATAAATACTAAGGCGGACGTATTCTGTCAGAATACAGCACTTTTTTTTTTATTGGCCGACACTTGATTTTGAACAAAAAATGTATGAAAGTCGATGACTTTTAGATCTCAAATACTCGACGCACAGTGGAGCTACGGCTTTGGTGCCATAGTAACAAATGCTAAGGCAGACGTATTCTGTCAGAATACAGCACTTTTTTTTTTGGCCGGCATTTTTGATTTTGGACCAAAATTATATGAAACGTGGATGATGTCCTTTGATTATTTGTTTATTTATTCAAAACACTTCTCTGCTCCATGCCACCTTGGTGGAAACTGGGCCTAAATGACCGTCGTTCACAGGCTCAACCGCAGCCGAAGCAGCCAGAGCCGGCGCCGCCGCCCGCCGCGCCCGCGCCCGCCGCCTCCCCCGCGCCCGTTAACTCGCTACAACAGTCGCATATGCAGCAGCGGACAGTACAGGTACGAACAGCTGTTTATTCATTTACATAAAGACAAATAAAATTTATGATAAAATAATTTAAATGTACACTTGTATACCTTAACTAACTTTAACACTATTTTATGATGAATGTCATGCAGTCATAGCGTAACACTGGCGTCTTGTGTATAGTCTGGTCGCTGAGCACGTAGAATTTCGTCCAATGACCCCAAGATCCTTATCGCTCGCGTGTAATTATATTGCTGTCGCAACTGTGCGCCATGCGGCCTCAGTGAGTGTGCGAGCGCGATAGCAACATAATTAGGCGCGAGCGATAAGGATGGGTAGCTTGGGGTCATTGGACGAAATTCTACGTGCTCGGAGACTGAGTTTATTATGAGTTGGAATATTCGTAGATGTCACAATAACAATTGAGGCGACAACACCCGAACGGTAAAAGTGTCGGACGCCCAGACTCGTTATCTGAGGAATGTAAACTCGAACTCCGCTACCGCTGGAATATTGTGGTGGACCAACTCGTAACAAAAGCATATTTTAGCGTGCAGTCAGCGTCAGGTATTTCGTGACGCCCAAAGTAGCCAGAAAGTTCTCAACGCGTCTTTGTTAGAATAAGGTGGTTTTGGCAGCTTTCTGACCACTTTGGGTGTCACGAACTGTATCACGAGGGGTTTAACGGGACTATTTTTTTTAAAAATATTAGGAATTTGTATTTTTTTTTCTTCGACCATATTTCACATTCAGCACAATCTCTTGACAGGAGAACGAGCACTTCGTCCAAGCGTGGCTCCGTTCCACATACGAGCCGCTACCGCCGAGCGACAACACTGCGTGCGAAGCGGCCGAGCTGTACCGGCAGTACCTGGCGTGCTGCGGCAAGCTGGGCAGGAAGGGGGTCATCGCGCCCGCACACTTCCCCCGTATATAATTATACGTTTACCTACACAATCCATATATAAATAAACGATTAATAAACGCACTGTAATATATACTTAGGTACTTATGTGATCATGAATTTTAAAATATTCCAATAGCGTTTCAATAAAAATAAAATAAAAAACTAGTAACACAGGATCTCCGGAGCCTAGCACGAGCACCATCTCTCCACAACTTCGTGTATATTGTTTTACAGAGCAGCCCAGAAGAAAATTCACTTTTGAAAATTCAAGGAAACGATAACTGTACATTTTTGTAGAACTTTAGCTATTGCAATTTAAAGGAAATTTAGTGCAATTTATTTTAAAATTTACTTTCTTTTATAAATTTTATCGTACATGTGATTCCCTTGACGTTTACAACATTCGGTCAACATACATCAACATTTTGGAAAACTTTCGTAAGCGCTCCTGCACACGACGCCGCTACCGCGCCGCCGCCGCGCCGTCGCCGCGCCTTTGCACTGTTTATACGCGCCGCGTGAACAACGCTGCCGCGCAGCCGCCGCGCCGCGCGCGAAATTATACTTTGATGGCGCGGTGGCGGCGCGGCGGCGGTTTTACTCGGTGCTTATGAACAGTGTAGCGGCGCGGTGGCGGCATCGTGTGCAGGAGCCCTTAGGCCTCAGCCTCGAATTTAGCGGGCAGCGGTGCGGGAGCGGGGCGGGCAACGTAAGACCGTTCTCGAAACAAGCGGGCAGCTCACGCGGCGCTTTAGCGGCGAAGTGTTGGGTTCGGGGTTGTGTTGTCGAGATATTTGTTTTTATTCGCAAACGAAATGTCTGAACAACGGCGACAATTTTATTTCGATTCAAATTTATTCCTAACGCTCGATTTATTGTGGGCAAAAGAAGGAGTGCGCTCCCGCGCCGCCGCCGCTCCCGCCCCGCTGCCCGCTAAACTCGAGGCTGAGGCCTTACTCCCCTACCCCTTGGACCAGGTTGCCTAGTAAGAAAGTGGATACGCCAATGGCAAGTGGGGCGCCGAACGATGACAGGGAACTCTATTCATTATTTCAGGCAATGACGTAAGCCTCCTCAAGGAACGTCACAAAGTAACCAGTGTTTAGCACTATCTCTCGCTATTTCATCCAGCCTCTATAAGATATCTTATTGAGATTGTCAGGCAACCGAGCAGGTGGATGTTTTGCATTACTGCTGCCTGAAACGTGGAAACCTTTCATCGGGCTACTGACAGATATGGCCGTGCTACTGCCATTATTATTATTTTTTATCCACATGAGGAAGCTCTTGGCCTGTATCTCACCTGATGGTAAGTGATCAGGCCGAAGATGGAAGCGAGCTTCACCCGGAATCCTCAACCACGGAGGAACTGGCTATCTTACCTCTAACTGCCGGAACACAACAATGCTGTTAACATTATTATTATACATACTTCCTCCATTAATGACCTAATGGCCTATTTGTACCCGACTGCGCTAGAAGGAGGGTTATTTGTTAGACCATTCTGAATCTTATGTCCATTATTTCAAAGATACCGTTTGCATACAGGACTGTGTTTGGAGGAACAGTGGGCCCGAATAACGTGACCACCTCGACGGGAGAGACTCAGCAATGTTACATCGGGATTAGGGCAAGAAATCCACCGCCTAGGACCAATCCACCGGCTGGTGAGTTACTTCATAATTATAATGTTCTATTAACAAAAGAAGGAAGGCAAGAGAGCACGCGGTCAATCGCCAACCCGCTGGATAGACGCCATCACAAAGACCTTTGAGTCCACCATGGTCCAGTGTACTCGCGACGCCTCTAACCGTCAGAAATGGAAGCACATCGCCAGGAGAGCTACCCTCGGAGATGACATCACCCCACCATGTACAGTCGCGGAATGAAAAGGTTCGTCACCTTAGTGTCGGTTTTCGCTTGCACTAGGTTCTGTAAGAGTCAAACCTGCCAACATAACAGTGCAAGAAACAGTGCTGCTAACATTGAAATAAATATGACGTTTGCTAACGAATAAGGTTTTGCTTGTTTATTTTTCTATCCCATCAGTGCAATGCAATGATGACATTGACCAATTGACAATAGTTTTTTTTATTTAATAGAAATAATAATGGCAGTTTGAACCAACAAGAAGGTTTTAGTTTATCAATCATAATAATCTTCTTGACAAGATAAATCGTCAAACAACTTTGATCTGAATAATTTTGAACTTTAATGACGAACAGTTAAAGATTATTTTCTCTAACTCAAGATTATTCTGTAACATAGTTTCAAAAGGTAATATGTGCTCGCGATTCGTTGAAGGAATCAATTTGAAATCTGACGAACCTTTTCATTCCCTGACTGTACCTCGTCAGCGCAACCACGACCACTCTGACAAGAGTGCCTGAATAGAAGAAGAAAAGAGACGTTGCAAAAAGTTACAGCCCTCAGTAATCCGTATCAATCTTTTACATCTCTTTCACATACAGCACACATTGTTAATAGTCATCATCATCATCATTTAAGCCATAGGACGTCCACTGCTAAACATAGGCCTCCCTCAATGATTTTTGGCCGGTTGGTAACGGCCTGCGTTTAGCGACTTCCTGCTTCCTGCTACTTGATGTCGTCGGTCCATCTTGCGGGTGGACGTCCCACGCTGCGTTTTCCGGTACGTGGCCTCCACTCCAGAACCTTGCTGCCCCATCCCCATGCCCCATTTTTATTAGTATTTGAAATTAAACTTTTGTATCATTTTCATAGGTCCAGCGTCGCCAATACTCAAAGCGCAGTTAACGAACAAACCCACGGGCACAGCTGAAGTGAAGCAAATAGTTGCCACACCACAGGTAATTCGATTGATGTTTGTAAGCAATGTTTTATTGTTTATTTAAATGACTATGCCATCTAATTAGATTAAATAATTACCGGACATTTTTATGTATTTACAAATACAAAGTTTTTAAAATGAGTCCCGCTGCTTTCCCATCCTGAGTTGACCCTTAATAACCTTATTGTATTATAAAAAAACACTAAATGTTAAACAATTGAACTCACTACTAGTCGCTACACTTGCCTAAAGGTTAAGAAACCTTACAGTTGTACTATACTAACGCCCGTATTCACAAACATTACTATGAGGTCTCACAGTGCGTGTGGATGCACAGGGTCACACACGAACCAATCACAGAGCTCTATTCAACGCTATGCGTGTGTTCACTTAAAGATCGTTTGTGAATACGGGTGTGAGTCTAAAACTGTTAGGCTGGTTTTAGAGTCGCGCTGACCGCTCGCTGATCGTCGGCGCTGACAGATCAATATGTATGTAATGAGGGCTATCGTTTTTATACTTAACAGTTGGCACCCTGGCGATTGACAGGACCTTACTCTACAGTGGCGCCATCTTGATGAGTGCAAATGCGATAGTCCTCCTACCACTTTAACGCTCACCAGTTGGTGCCACTGTCTTCGCTACTAGCAAGTGACAGGACCTTACTCTACAGTGGCGCTAACTGGTGAGCGCTAAAACGATAGCCCCCATTGAAGGGAACGTTCCTGAGTGACGCTGATCGCTCGGCGCCGACGCTTCATACAATTCAGCTGTCGACGTGCGTCAGCGTGACTCTAAAACCAGCCTTGGTCTTTCTCTTTCAGTTTTCTAGTTTTAAAAGATAACCTCCTCTCATTGAATACTTAAAATAATTCGCCATATCTTCTAGCCTCAAGCCCAACAACCAGCTCCGACGCACCCACATCTCTCCCAAGCGCTGGAATCGAACCCGTCCAACACGACCCTCATCAAACACCTGCTCGCCCACAAAGTAAGCCCCGCCCCGCCGCCGCAAGTAAGTGCCTACTAACAGTACTAACGGTTTGGGTTTGTGAATGACGTGTGGAGGATAGGTGTGTTGTATTGTACAGTCAGCGACAAATAGTTCGTGACACCCAAATGACTCAGAGTAGACAATAAGTTCCCAACATGTCTTTGTTACAATAGGCTAGTTGCCTAAAAAAATTTTTTTAGTCCGTAATGTTTAATATCAAAAAATATTGGACACGTATAATTTTATTTGTCAATCTAACAAATAATTACATAGTTATGGTGCGTTGAAGTTGCGCACGACGTCACAACGTGCGGCATTTTTAAGCAAGCGTTGACGTCACGGGCNTTAATATCAAAAAATATTGGACACGTATAATTTTATTTGTCAATCTAACAAATAATTACATAGTTATGGTGCGTTGAAGTTGCGCACGACGTCACAACGTGCGGCATTTTTAAGCAAGCGTTGACGTCACGGGCCTCTTCTTATGTACTTTGGGGCGCTTTATCTCTTTAAATTTTCATTAGTTTGAAAAAGTGAAAAATACGTGTAGAGTATTTTTTGATAAGTTAACTGACGGACTAATTAAAACTCTTGCTTTTTGACCCAGGCAACATCCCCATTGGAATAAGAGCGGAAAATAGCGCTTGTAAGTAAAATGGCGTCCTTTCAGCGGTAAGTGCTGCCACTGTCAAAAAAATGTATGGGAAAACGTCACTTTAGAAGTTTAGCAAACGTGTCCTATACAGGGTGGAAACGATAAGTGATCTCACTCGATTATTTCTAAACTATACAAGATATCCAAAAACTGGTTACTGATCCTGAAAGTGATTCACGAGCTCTATCCAACGGTACCAATAATAGGTTACAAAATAAACTGAATCTGTCTGAAAATTCAATGTTTCCAGCCTCCATACATTAAGTAAAACCACATTATATTAAAAACTGTACAAGATATCTAAAAACTGGGTACTGATCCTGAAAGTGCTTCACGAGCTCTATCCAACAGTACCAATAATAAGTTATAAAATAAACTGGATCTATCCGAAAATTCAATGTTTCCAGCTTCCATACATTTAGTACTGCCACATTCATGGCACTCATATCTTGATAATATTATAGCAAGTAGAGCCTTAAACCAATGTTGTCCATGAATAATTTTAAATAAGAGTGCAATTTACGAGTTAATTTTAAGTGTTTATTATTTTAAATAAAAAAATTTAACACTCTAATATTGTGTGGCTGGCATAGTGGCATACATTTAGTATGGAGGCTGAAAACATTGAATTTTCGGATAGATCAAGTTAATTTTTTAACCTATTATTGATATCGTTTGAAAGAGCTCATGAAGCACTTTCAGGATCAGTAATCAGTTTTTCGATATCTTGTATAGTTTAGAAATAATCGAGTGAGATCACTTATCGTTTCCACCCTGTATATGACCCACGCTGAACTGTCCCACCAAACTCAATGATAGAGGGGCGCTACCATCGTTCAACTATATGGTTTCCAACATGGCAAAAATCGGAAGCAACGATTCGGCATTGACGGTGGCGCCCCACTGTCAATGTCATGGATAGGACAGTTCAGTATTTTGTAACTATAGCAGAAAACATGCTAAAGTTTCGGCGGTAGCCATGGCGATCGCCATTTTCCTAACAATTTCTAACAAGCGCTATTTTCGGCCAAACGCAGCCATTGTGTAATCATCTTTTTTGGCCATTTTGGGTGACATGAATTATTTGATGCTGACTGTACAGTTCGCGAGACCTAAGCTGAGCTTTGTATTTGTGTGAGTAGGTACACATGGATAGTGTATGTTTGACAGTTTATATTATTCGTCGCGCATCTGTCACACTTCACCTCTTGTACTGGTTGCATCGTGACGTATTTAATTCTATTCTTAGGCTGGGTTGTACCATCTTACTTTAAATTTGACAAACGTCAAAAAGCTGTCAAACTCCATACAAAATACACCGGTTATCGTTAAAGTTACGGTCAAAGTTAGGTGGTGCAACTCACTCGCCTTAGTATTTTGTTATTGTATTCAATTTTTCTATACAAACATTTTAGCGATTTTTAAAAAGTTTTTTGTCTACTTTTTGTGATCACTCACACAAATACAAAGCTCAGCTTATGCCTCGTGAACTGTAGCTCGTCTGGAATAGGGCATATTTGTATTACAATTAGCGTAGCGTGGGCAGGCCTCCTACTAGGTGGACCGACGATCTGGTAAAGGTCGCGGGAAGATCCTGGATGCGGGCATCGCAGGACCGTTAATTGTGGAAAACTTTGGGGGAGGCCTTTGTCCAGCAGTGGACGTCATTTGGCTGAAACGAACGAACGAACGTATTACAATTTGCAGGACTATCTCATAACTGTGTCAGTGCCTGAGGTATAACGGGAGTGTGTTTTTGAGACGTCCAACGTCAGCGGAACTTCAGATAGAGACCCAATATACTGAACTGTCCTATCTGTGACATTGACAGCGGGCCGCCACCGTCAATACCGAATCGCTGGTTCCGATTTTTGTCAAGTTGAAAACTTTATACACTCGACAGCAAATAAATCGCACCACCCGCGACAAGCATTTTCAAACGTATGCATCCCTACTTCCCACCAATATTGGCACCATTTAAAAGCCTAGTTCTAAACTTCATTTTATTAAAGGAAAGGTTTAAACCCCAAAAATGTGTCTTTACAAGGATCCAGAGTCACTTCTTCAAAAAATAGGTAGTTACGCTATAGCCATTTTTTATGACTATAAAACTGTTAAGTTGGGATTAATCGCTATCCATCTGTTAAAGAGGACACGTGTGATCATTATTTGGTTTTATAACCATAAAATTTGGTCTAATTGATCCCAGAGGTGAGCCCAAAGTGAGGTCTTTTTTCAAGTCACATTTATGGTATATGTTAATCATTTATTAAGAAATTAAATGTGTTTTTCTTTAAGGATATTTATTGGGCTTTCAAATAACACCAATATTGTTGGGGCACCGTTATTGTGTCAAAAGAAAATCTTTAAAGTTCGCGTCGCGGGTGGTGCGATTTATTTGCTGTCGAGTGTAGTTGAACGATGGTGGCGCACCTCTGTCAATGAGTTTGGTAGGACAGATCAGTTTGGGTCATCTATATCCTTTATATTTACATGTTTTGTCACGTCATATGTCAATGTCACCCCTCCCGTGCCGCCCATATCTCAGTCACTTACTGAGTTTAGTGCTGTACCTATAGTTCCATTTTGTATTACGTCACGAATGTATTTTTTATTGTGATAGTCACAGATATGTGTTCTTGAAAAAACACAATAACTACGTGTTCTACACGTAGTCAGTTATTGGCAAATGTGCAAGTGTATGTAACTGAAAAGATAGACTTACGAGTACAATATGTACTTGAAAATTTCAAAAAGCGCATACATCTAATCTTGTGCCATATTCCGGACGAGATTTTGGGTTCACTAGGTTAAAGAAAATTACGTATGACTATTTCTTTTAGGCCCGATTCGACCAAACTTTTATCCGAGAATAACTCCTGGTATAACTGGCACATTGACAGTTTCAGTATGAGAAATATGTCAAAACTGACGATTTATTCTGAGATTAATATTTACTCTTGTTTGGTCGAATCCACCCTTAGTCATAAATTATAGTTATAAGTGTTCTCTCACTTGAGAGTATTGGCGTGTAATCCTACAATGAGAGATTCGCTTTTGTTTTCGAGTGTTTGTGACGTAACATTCCCGGTCGAGTTAACTGTCCACCTGACTGCCGTGACGTCACATCGACGCTCTGTTACGCGGGGAGGTGCACGGGTAAGTGCGAGGGAGAGTCGCATTAAAGCCAGGTGCGCAGTTACTTTTGACCGGGTTGTACTCGCGAATGCTACGTGTGAGAGAAACTTTAGGTTCCATACAGGTTTTGGTAATGGAGTTTTGAAGGAGGTGTTTTGTGTCCAAATCTTTCTTATTGTTAAGACAGTGGAATAAAATTTAGTATATTTTATTTATATTTAGACTATACGATGTACCTATTCGTGTCTTTTGTATGAGTTTATTTTGATACATCTCAATAATGTTACTTAGTAGTTATCAATTGTGTGTTTGTCATTTCCTGAGCGGTTATTATTTTATTTAATTCATAATATAGTTAGTTTATTTATTACAGTGCACAAAAATATTGTTTTGTCCTTTTGATAAAAACCTGTCAACTGTTTTTAGTTTGTTTGGTTTTTATTTTATTTTAATTTGAGTTATCTTAAAGTTTTATTAATTTTAGATGATTTTTCGAGCGAGTATTACAGATCACGGTAATATAGATTTTTTGTTGTTGAAAAACATGCATGTTGTATTGTTCTCGTAATGGAGTGATTTTCGTAGTGGCAGTATTATGCAGTAAAAAGCATGTCAAAGTTTAAAGGAACTAACATGAGTAGGTAATAACAGGATAAAAATGGCATGCTTAGTTGCATAAAGCTTTTTGAAGGCATGCGAAATAAAACAGTAATAAATGTTACTTTAGACTCTAAAGTCTAAAGTTTAGAGTTATACTTTAGTCTGACAAGTGTAGTGTTGTGAAAGTAACTTCAAAATTATACTAAAAAGTTCATAATAGTCAATACGTAGATTTTATTGCTATATTTCTTGTGTAGGTTGCGCAGAGACAACAAAGTCAGCAGAGAGTGACCCCTGCAGCTAACACAGTTGTAGTTCAGAATAATCAGGTGTGTATACAAACAAATTGCTTATTTTTATAGGTCCTATTATCTACAAAATAATTTATTGACAAAGATATGAAGGGTAGTTGATACCACCAGTAACTGCTGTCAAAATGATACGCTCCTATAGATTTGACAAAGACAAGGTAAGACGTCACGTGGTTCGCGAATTAAATTGATTACTTATTGATTATTCTATGTCACTAAAAATGAGTTTTACAGCTGCAATTGGGGTACTTAACTAGGTTTTTAAGCCTAATAATATAGTAACTCACTTAAATTATTAAAGTACATTTTCAAAGTTGTGTTATTGGTTAATGGTGTCAGCTACAAAATTAATTTCTGACGATGTGTGATACCTGACGATAGATATTCTGATTCCCAGGTATTGGATGTAGACCCAGAAGCCCTTATCAAGTGCACGACCATCACACCAGGTGGCGTCGCGAGTAGCACACCACCTGCTGAAAAGGTAAATCGAGAGTAAGATGAAGCAAAAAATTTATTGGGAAAACGCTTGTGGTCGACTGTACGTAATTAATTGAAAACTTCCTGTTTTCTTACAGGTTTATATTAACGCTGCAGATGATTCTTTAGGTAAGTATTTCTCAAAGCTTCAAAGGAATCAGACATCTCGAAGTATATTTTGTTTTACTTCATTAGGAAAACAAAGTGAAAATACAAAATGAAAAAAAACAAAATTAATTTTAATTTCAGTCATAAAAGAGGAACCAGTACAAATTCAAATCGACGAGCAAACGCAGTTGACAATCGTAAGTAATTTGTATCATAATTTTATTTCCATTTTTTATTTGGTATTGTTTTTATTTGTTTAACATTATACGTTTGAACAGAAAACGGCTCAGAACAAAATGCTCGCCGACTTGCTAGAGAAGAAATCTAACCCTCCAGTGCAAGTCGTCCAAATGGGTCCCCAACTGAACGCTCCAACTATACAAATAACTGAAACCGGCCAGATAGTGCAAGTGAAGACAGAAAACGAACCAGTATTACAACTAAACGACCCCATGGTCCCTCAGACTAATCAATTCTTCCAAATAAAGAACGATCAAGGTCAATTGATCCAACTCAAGAACGACCAAGGTCAATTGATCCAGCTCAAGAACGATCAAGGTCAACTGATCCAGATAAAAAATGAGCAGGGTCAGTTAATACAATTGAAGAGTGACCAACTACCGGGAGCCATGTTGCAGTTCAAGAATGACCAGGGTCATATAGTCCAGGTCAAAAATGATGCACAGATAAGTCTGCAGAGCGGTCAGATTATACAGCAAGCTGTGATGCAAGCACTGAAGACTGAAAAGGACATGATTGTGGACACCGTCGTCACCGACCACTCGTATACAGAACCGCCGACCAAAAAGATCAAGCTTGAAGACAAGAAAGATGTAAGTACCCTCATTTTACTCTAGATGCACCCAACTTGACTGTGCACTATTTGTAAAATGCAGTGTTGCCTTGCGTAGATTAGTCTGCTTTTGTGGTAAAAATGACTTTTTTTAAAGGGTAACACCGAAAGCGTTTCGAAGACAGCGGCAAATCTTTATGCTGCTCTCGCTGCATCTGCTCTTGAAGATGAAGACTTGGTAAGTTTTCCTGTCATGATACCTTGGGCTTATAGTAGATTCGGTCGATATCTAGGTGTTACCCTTTCTAGCAGCTCTAGGGTTGCAACTATAGTCCACTCGGTGTTGCCCGATGGAAATATTGAAATAATAATTGTGAATTTTATCATTTTTTCATGTCTGTACCTTTAGCGGCCAACAGGAATCGTGATAACTGGAACGTTACGAAAGGTCATATTTGGTTTTATTCTCATGTGTAATTTGTTTTCTTAGTTTTCTTTGAATTAGTTTTTTAGTTTATCTAGATTGTTCATTAGACAGAAACATTATTTAGCTATTCGATGTTTATGAAAATAAATGGTTTCTTAGTTGCTTAATTCGGACGAGTTCAATCATATTCAATGATAAAAGACGTTGTTGATCAATACATGTCACGATAACTTCAGTATACAGATCCCATATTTAGATAGCTTGACCAGGATTGTAACACCTATAAAAATTGCTGCATAATCAATCAATTAATGAACACTGAAATAAGCCTTTGGGTATCACCTTATAATATTATAATCATGCTATGCGAAAGTTTTTATATAAATGTGCCAAAGTTATTTATAAAACTAAAAGAAGTTGCTAAGGAAGACGCGTTTTGTGATAAAAAGTAAGAATTGAAGGAAGCCAGTTAACTGAGTATAAATGTGAAATCTTCGTGATTTATCCAACAGATACCTCCAAAAACTGAACCAGATATCCCACAATCTGTTTTAGTAGCAGGCACTGGAGAGAATGCCTCTCTCATTATCCAGGAACCCATTTTACAGGTAGGTAGTTTATTAAAAAGATATAACAAATAACAAACTTACTAACTATGTCGATATTAAGCAACTAACATCCCTAACAAAAATAAAACGCTTCTTCCTATTTTCACTATAATATAGTTTTGTTAATCGTTATTAATTTATCAAATTTTAAATGTAGGTGCAGCAACCATCGCTGCAAGTGCAGCAACCGACGATGCAGGTGCAGCAACCGACTCTGCAAGTGCAACAACCGACACTGCAAGTGCAACAACCAACATTGCAGGTAAATTTTGTTTGGTTCTCTGTCAGCTTCTTTTAAAAATTGTTGTACATCAAAAACGGGACTATTCCCACCGCTCGTTCCCACTGCTGCAACTCCTGTGTAGCCAGGATCTACAGCTTGACCGCCAATAAAAGCCCAGCCAGTGAAGGTCAAGTTGTCCTGGGGGAAAGTTAACTATCATTGGACCCGCAACGAAATTAATCAAAAGAACATAGGAAGAGGAGTTCGAAGTTGTTGCACATCAGAGTCAGAGACAGATTTTGTTGCAAATGCGCTCTTATTGCAAGTGCATAAGATGTCAGTATTTAGTTTGATGTGCCGTCGTCTGTGCATCTAATATATAAGTATTTCTTTCATCAGATTAGTTTGGGTCACACGATTATTTTTCAGTAATGTTCGGGGACAAATCATTTGTACAGTCAGCGTCAAATAGTTCGTGACGCCCAAAGTGGCCGAAAAGTTGACAACAGAACCTTATTCCAATGAGGGTTTTCGCGAATGAAAAATTCGCCAGATGGCAATACGTAGACGCGAGGTCCAAATGCTACATGATTGGTTATTTTTGATATGACATTGACAGATATGTCAAAATCCACCAATCACGCACCAGTCAGACCCCACATCCACGTCCCGTCATCTAGCGGATCTTTCATTCGCGAAAACCCTCATTGTAACAAAGACGTGTTGCGAACTTTTTGGCTACTTTGGGTGTCATGAACTATTTGACGCTGACTGTAATATACACTACTTTTATAGTAATTTAGCACTTCAATTTGTTTTCATTGTTTGTTTAGGTGCAGCAACCGACATTGCAGGTTCAACAACCGATGCTGCAGGTACAGCCGATGGACGTCCAAAACATCATCGCATCGCAATCTGGACAAATCATCCTGCAAGGTAATTGATTCTTTTGGTTACATAAAAATCGTTAACCGATTGAGTCCCAGACGGCATTAATTAATGTCATAACAATTGAGAATCTAGACACAATAGATAATTATCTATTGTGTCTAGATTCGCGGAGCTTGAAGGATTAATATTGTTTGTATTCTTGTAATCTTTCAAATTAAAATTGACGGCCAATCATTTTTTTTACAGAAAAATCCATGCCAACACAACAACCGCAGTTTGTCCAGCAACCGATGCAGATTATCGCTACACCAGGTGGCTCGCAAGGTAAAAATAATACGACATTTAAAAAATATAACTTAAAATATTTACCCTGTGTTGCTCGGGGAAATAGTTTAATTTTGGGTCAAAATAACTTCTTCGGTCATAAAAAAATCCAACAAATATTTTCAATAATATAAGGCTTAAACGTTCTCGAGTGAGTGGCGACCACGGGCTGGAAGACGTAGCGTGGGCAGGGCTCCTACTACTAGGTGGACCGACGATCTGGTAAAAGTCGCGGGAAGAACCTGGATGCGGGCAGCGCAGGACCGTTCATTATGGAAAGCCTTGGGAGTCTTTGTCCAGCAGTGGACGTCATTTGGCTAAAACGACGGTCTAAACGACGTGTGAACCGAAACATGTCTTTTCTATCATCATCTTATTTGCAGGAGGTTTGAGTTACATAACTCAAAATTTGCAAGGCAACATACAAATGCAGAAAACAATCATCATAGTACAAGGCCCTGCTGGTGGAGGTCCCTTAACTTTAACGGTATGTATCAATCAAATATCGTCTTATTTTTCATTATAATAAGATTCAAATTCGGTTGTCAAAGAGAACACAGCATTTATCGACCTAAAATGACTTAAAGGTATTCGAGTTACGTTGACTATGGAAATAAGATATTCTTTAGCAATATTTGTTCCGAAATAAATGTATAAACTTTACAAAGGTGAACAACCCCGGGGGCCTGGACGAAGCGACGTTAAACAGCCTTATTACCCAGGCGACAGAGGCTATAACGCAACAGCAAATAATACAGGTTCAACAATAGTGCTATTCACGCTTGACACTAATTTTGTTTGGGTTATTTTCTCACCTCATTGTTTTTCTAGCTAATTAAAAACTTTATTAAAAAATTTGTGAGGTTCAATCACAATTTAGCCTATAAATAACATCATTTCACTCATCTTTTTGTTACTAATAAATTTAATATCGACTCTAAGCAGTAACTAATAAGGTTAAAATTTGGTTACAGCTTAAATAGTTTACCTACTAACACCGACATGGTCGCACGTTCCTTTTATTTCTTTGCGCAGCCTTTGGTTGTTACGGGTTCACTTATGCTTTACTAATTTTTGGTAAAACTACCTACAATTTTATTAAATAATTTAATATATTATTGTCTAGTTATTGGCATTTTAGTGGTATACCTTATTTCTTATTAGTTGACATGAATTAACGTTTGTGACTTGCGATTTTTCTGACATTAACTGTCAACCGAACACGTGATATAGTTCGCGCAACATGAGTTGAGGCGATCAAAGCAAGCAAAGATTTGTATCTGCTGCTGACATTTTACGGATTCTGTCTGATTTCTGTGTTCTGAATTCAAATATTACATCAGTGTGAGTAAGCGTTCGTCTCAATTTTCGTTGCGCGGTCTATACATAGTGCAAAAAAGAACCATTAAAGTGTCAAGGAATTTAGCAACGCTAGAGTTCAACCCTCAACCGAATTCCGATCTTACGTGCAAGGTGTTAAAGCTGTATGTTGCGTACAGAACTCGGGCGTGATACAGACCGCTCAGAGGGTGATTGTGAGCCAGCCGACCCTTGTGAGCACGTCCCAACCGATCACTGTGGTCAAAACGGCCATAGCTCAGGTTCAATGCACATGATACTAGTTGTGCTTGGTAGATGTTGGCCAGTTGGTTGTTCTGGTATCTGCGATAAGTGTTGAAAGGCGACAACGGGGATATTTTCATACAAATTCTTAATTTCTTTTTTTTAAGGCTATATGTGTTGATCACCTTCCGAGTAAGCTAAAGACACACTTGTGTTAGGAGTGGTGTCACCACAATAACAGCCGTCGATGGCGCTCCTCCAATCTCGAGTTGGCAATCCAATCTCAACGCCTTAATAGAATTTGAGGGCTGAGTGTGAGTTTACATCAATTAGACATAGATGCGTTAAAAATATGTATGAAAATTTTAGTTCTTGAACGTTTCCGCTAGGGGCGCTGTACAATCCGTCATACATTTAATGTAATTTTTTTACGAGCTCAGGTGTTACTTTGTGAGTGTAGTGAAGTGAAATAACAAAAGTACGATTAAGTATCAAGACTCGTTTTATGCAATGATGCTCAAAATATACATTTAGATTCCCACGGTACCTCCCAGATACAGATATTTAATTGTTTAATTACTCGAACATCAGCTAAAATACATTTTGTAAAGAGATTATGTTGCCATTAATTAAAAAGATAAAAAATACAAACTAATTTCTTTGGAATTTGTTTGAAGATATTGTCGCTGTCGCCGACGCCTGTCGCAGGTCTAGAATGAAAACCTTTATGGAGCTCGTACACTGAATGGCAAACTATACGGTGCAGGAAAGATGCATTTTGCGTTCCGATGTTTTCACCTCAGTGTACAAGTACCTTTATGTTTGAAGCATGGTTGTATGAGGTTACTTCAAATTGGTTGACAATCTTTTGGGGTTAAAGACTTTTTTTGGGTTGCTTATTTACGAAAATACAAGCGAAATTTTCGCACTTGTATGGCTGGCTAATTTATACTGGCGTTTTATATCAAATTTGAAGCAACCATGTGTAGTATATTATTGAAAAGAAGCATATTTATTTTAAAAGATAAATGTATTTAGAGTGCTAATTTATTTTCTTATGTATACTTTCTTCTTGTGATAATGGTTATGGGCTAGATTTTTTATGGATTTTTGAGTTTCTTTAGAAAGTTTGTTACATTGCTATAGAAATTTATTTATATTATCGTTATACCGATTTTAATAAATTAATGTTTGAATCGTAGATTTTGCTATATTGAGTTTACAATAGAAAACAAAACACGTCTTAATCCATATTATTGATATTAATTATTCTCTAATATTCCTACAGAACACGCCCCAAATAACGCCAAGTCAGCAACCAATAATAACTACACAACCGCAACCACACAAGGCGCAAATCGTCAACCAGCCTCAAGGTCAGCAGATAGTGGTTACACAGAAACAACCACCAGCGCTGATCAGTACCACATCTAGCAACCAAATAGGGAACCAGCAGATCATACAAGGCGGTCAGCAAATTATACAGGGCAATCAACAACTGATTCAAGGTGGTCAGCAAATTATAACTGGGAACCAACAGATTATACAGGGGAATCAGCAGTTGTTACAGGTAATCAAATCAATTTATTAAATATTGATATACACTTATAGAAATAGAAATTGAGAACGTTTATTTGATACTAAAGCCACAAGCTGTGCGAGCGCGATAGCAATATAATTACGCGCGAGCGATAAGGATGGGTTTCTTGGAGTCATTGGACGAAATTCTACGTGCTCGGCGACCGGACTATAAAAACATCTTAATATTCACCATTAAAACAATAAATTGGGTACATGTCCTAAAATGGTATCCGCTCAGTATAAGGCTTTATTATTTATCTAGGCCCAAACTTTTCTGCTTTGTTAGAAATAACTAGGGTACTTACTCTAAAAAGGGAACATACTCCTTTCTCTTTCTGGCAATCGAATCCAAGACCATTGGAATGAGAACGCCTCTGTGGTAAACTAGTCAGAGAGTGCATTGTGAACAGAAAAGTTTTCGAGTAGTGACCACTTGGTGGACCAACGATCTAGTGAAACTCGCGGATACCTGGATGCGGGCAGGGCAGAAACCGTCGTTATAGAAATCCTTGAAGGACGCCTTTGTCCAGCAGTAGACGTCCTTCAGTTAAAACGGAAATTAATATTTATGTCAGTACTAGCGGCCGACCGCGACTTCGTACGCGTGGATCCCGTTTTACCCCCTTAGGGACAGAGTTTCGTAAAATCCGTTCTTAGTAAGCACCTACTTTCTAAAAGGAACCCCCATGCAAAATTTGAGACTCCTAACACTTGTAGTTTCTGAGATTTCGTGATGAGTGAGTGAGTCAGTAATTCAGTGACCTTTCGCTTTTATAAATATAGATTGTAATTTAATCACACTTATTTCAGGGTAACCAGCAAATCATAGCTGTCTCCAATAACCAGCAGATCATAGTAAATGCTCCCATGAAGCCAGGGGTCCATAGAGTGGTCCAACAACCGCAGAGGAGCCAAGTGGTGACCAACGTGCAGCCGACCATAGTGCAGACTTCGGTTGTGCAGAGCGACACCAAAACTAGTGTTATACAGACTAGTGCGGTAAGTAATACAAGAGTATACAGGGTGTGGTTTTGTAAAACAACGCCATTCTCAGTGGTGGTAATACACGACACTGATGCCAAAAAAATTTTTTTTTTTAAATGTTCATGGATTTTTGGTAAATGGTATTACTACGCCTTCTCGAAAGTTTTAGGAGACTTTTGAACAAGGTTTTTTAGTATTAAAGTAGGATAGTTAAAATTTTATTTATATTTTTCTTGTAATTACTTTCATGTGTATTGCCACCCCTGAAATAGGCGTTGTTTTACAAAACCACACCCTGTATAGACGACAGTACATCAGACTATACTTTTGTTGCAATATCGCCCCTATTCCTACTGCATAAGACGTCACAGTGTTTACCTTTATGTGCTGTTGTCTGTACAAACATGATACGAACATATCAACTGCCAACTTTTTAGTTAGACTACACTGATCGACGACAACAAATCGCTGAGTTGCGATCCTATCGATTAATCGTTCTATCGAAATGACCCTTGTGAATGCGGATTAAGAACTGTTTTTCAATCGGACGACATCTGAACGTCAGCGAGATCTTGACTGTCAAAATACGTGAATTAGGCCACTGAGAGTGAGCACTGAGCTACTAAGCTAAAGACCATTCGAAAATTTAAAGTATTCGCTTGGCATTATAAAATAAAAAACCATGACCATTAAAAACAATTAAAATAAAAATGAATTACAAAAAATAAAATGGTTTAAAAATTATAAAATTGGAAAAAAACTCATATTCACGTTGAAGTTAAAGATTTCCCCCTTTTCAGAAATTAATTACTTGCAACACTTAACCAGTTAATGTTTGATTACAGCAGAAACCACAGCAAGTGATGAGACAAGTCATCACCAGGCAACCAGTTATGGTGGGAAACACCAAGATCGGCGAAAAAGAGATGGTTGTGACGCAGCCCGTTACAGAGGTAAGATTATTATTAAACTCTAAGGCTGAGTTGCAATCTTACTTTATTTATTTATTTATTTATTTT